TCAACAGTAGGATGTTTAATATATTTTTATTTATTGTTACGAATATCCATTCAGTCACTAATTAGGTAGTGACAAAATTCTTGGCACATAATTAAAAGTGTGTATCTTTAATCCATTAAATTTCATCAATTAAGATTTCAATTTATGCATAAAGGCAGTGGAGGTTTCAATAAAAGAGCAATTTCCTAGACAATTCCGCGTCAAAGAGTGATCATTCGTTCCCTCTTAAACCGAGAACAAAGGCCAGTGCCGTTTTTCACGTGAAGCGTAACTGTAATTAAAAGATACGACATGTGATTCGTTTGTTAGACTTTTATGACAACTTCTTTCACGCGATTTTACTCGTTCTTTCAGTCCCGTCCACGTGCTTATTTTCAAATCGTCATGACGTGAACGAAATAAAGCGAAATTTTTTCATACAGTAAAATTACTTGAATTCGCGTGTAATTCTTGACATCGAACGAAGCAAAAACCGAACTCGAAGAAATCCAAGCTTTCGGGATATGAAAAATCTCAAGTTCTCCGGAACTGGGAATGGGGTATTGTCTGATCAATACTTCCCATACCCTTGTTGATTCGCGAAATCGTGCAGGCTGATAATTTGTTCGACGCGTCGTCGAATATTTTGAATTTCCCTATGATAGAACGGGGTCGAGGATACTTCGCTCCTACGAGTGCATACCTCTCAAAGGTACGGTTGTTCGATATCCGGAGGTAACTGGGAAAAAAGCAGGTCGTGCCGGTCGTAATCGATAAGGTATCGCCGTGCGAGGAACTCGAAAACATTTAAAACAACCCCCGCGAAACGAGAGCTACAAATTTTTCGATCGGTTATAAAATGTCGGTTCGTTGGTCGATAAAAGCGTCTAACTTCGTTAACGAGCGTTTTAAAATCCTCGATTAAGGATGAGCAAAGTTTAACATTTGAAAATTAATTATTCCTATTCTTAATAATTAGAGCTTCGATACGACTCGTAACAAATGCCCATTTTCTTTTTTTATTAAATGGAACAAAAAGGGTGAATATGTAGCGTGCAACGGATTTTTCAGCTGCAACTGCAAAGGTTGAAATCAGCTTCTAAAGTAGCAACTCAGCAAACAAAAACTGTGCTCGTCCCTTATTTTTAGTTGCTTAACTAGTCTACAAAGTTTTATCAAAATAAGAGGACATTTCGGTGTATTCTCTTGTTGGATGCAGAGGGTAGTTAGTTAAATAGCAGTGGTAGGGGTTAATTAATGTCTACCTCTTCCGGTTACTTGTTTTGTTTGAAATACTATTTACTTAAAGTAACAGTCGCGCAGTTTCAAGTTTTACTCGAAGAACTACGAAGAAAGAAGTATTGACAGACGGTAAATAACTTATTAGCATTCGTTTGAATTAATGGTAGCCTTTCTTTTGTTTCAAATGTAGCCAATGCTTTTCTATACAAATTTTCAAAAATCAGGAAAATTTCACCTCCCTGTGGCTCGGGGATCAGAATTCGACCACGGTAACCCCTGCCTGTCGTAAGAGGCGACTAAAAGGGGAGCGTAATGTAAAAGTAGAAAGCGTGGGACACGAAGCGTTGTAACAGAACTGAAACAGAGAATGAAATAACAGTATTAATCGCAAATATAATGTGAAATCAGTTCAAAATTAGCTACACGAGGAAAAAAAAAATTTCACGTTCATAAATTGTATTTTTAGCACTGCATCAAAATAAAAAACAATATAACATTTGTTTTCGTAAGAAATTTCAAATTATTATTGTTCAGAAATTAATGAAGTGATACATTATTAATTTGCATGAACTTTTTCTTATACCTAGTGCTATAAATTACTCTAATCAAATATTCATGGAAATATAAATAGATCAATCGTCAGATAATTATAAAATATATTATTTATGAAATTTTTCTGTTTAGTTTATTCTAAATATTTATTATTCTACGACAAAATCAGATACAGTAAATATTTATATAGGCCTTCTTTATTATCTACATATGTAGGTATATCGAATCTATAATTAAATTTATGCCCACATATTATGGTGCACCCTGTATATACATACATATCTATATATGTACATCGATTTGCGTGCGTCGATTCTAATGCAGATTAAATTTTAGATCATGGATATGGGAACACGAATTGATACAAGATATGAAATCTCAAGCTTGCATATGCAAAACCAAATAAATCTATTTCAATCAAAATTGAAATACGCCTGGATACCATGAACGTGTAACATTAATTACTGTGACATAATAGAGGGATGTTCTTATCATGAAATTTAAATCTACATGTTAGGAGTATTATTAATGTCATTTTTATAAATCAATTAATTATAAGAAAAACATTAAGGTTTAATTTTATAATTGTTATAACATCATTATTTTTATTTTGGTTTTATTATATCTTTTGAAATTTTTCTTCGAAATGAAACTCTTATATTCAACAGAATAATCTTTTTATTAATTTGTTTAATTCTTGAACAGCGGAGTCTAGGTCAATCCAAAGGATATTAATCTAAAGTTGAATGTATAATTTAGAAAATGAAAATAATATGAAATACAAACTTTAATTAAAACTGGTCCAAGGATTAATATTCTGTAGTTGAACTGTGAAATGCATTACTGTTAAAAAAACTCTAATACAATACTTAGTCGCATGAAATTGATTACCTTGATACTATTTGCATGATGGAATTCATGAACTCTCCCACATCGATTTTAATTGCGAATCATGAATAATGGACTGAAATATTCTGATTAACTCGTATGTAGTGATACGAAATATCGATTTCGTCCTAAAGCAAGAGGAACAGTAGCATTCTTTAGAAAGCTGAATATATTACAGATAGTAAACATGAAAAAAGTGTATATCGTGGAATTGAATTTATGCAATTTTGTCCATCGGTGCATAAAAGAAGAATGCATTTGCAACCCTATACCTTTAGATGCAACTTTCAAAGTGTTCGAATCAGAAAAGAGAAAATATTATTTAACAGTGAATAGTTTTCACTCGCAAAGCAATAATCTGCTTTCAACAGCGAAGTTGTTTGCCCTTTAACATTGCTACTTTGTTACTTTGAAACTTAAAACCACTTTCCATCGAAACGCTAAACTTTGGGAAAAAAGGACTCGGTAACTGAAACCATCTCCTAAATGAAACAAAGCAGACGAGAAACGCAATAAAAACAATTTCAACCATAAACAATTTCTCTCTGGCGATATTGTTGTGTATAAAAAGTAATAGATTTTCATCTAGTAAAGTGCGCTGGTATTGGAACGATTTGTATGCAAACTGTACTCAACACTATGCGTATGATGCATTGAAAATATTCCTTTGTGGAGGATTTCAATAATAATTTTACAGTAACTAAAATTTAACTATTTCATGTGAAAATATTTTGTTTTACAATTTGGAGCATGCAATACTTTTGCAATACTTTTAAAAACACGGGTAACGTCATCAGATGATCAAAATGGGTCGAATATTGATGAAATAAAATTAATTAAGCTCGGTTGCAGCAGTGTAACGCTCGATAAAACTGTACCTCCCGAAAAGTTGAAATGATCATTTTCTAATTTCGATGGAAAATTTGACTTTTCCAGCTGATTCATTTGTGCATTAATCCGTTTGGTGATCCACTTACATAAATGATTTCGCTTGAAGACGATAATCGGATCAGCTGGAACATTTTAATTATATTTAATTAAATTTTGTTGTAATTAACGCTTCCGTCAACGAATCGAACACGAAATACAGATTGAAAATCTCGATCCAATTTATTTACAAAATGCAGTAATTTAGTTCGATATTTGGTTTAAACTGAGATAAATTTACATTACGGTCTAATAGATTCTTCTAACATTTACACAGAAAATTGTAACGTGGTATTACTTTCAAAACTGCTCTATTTATTTTAACAATCTTTATACACCAGAAAAAGAATAATAAAGTGAAAAACTATAAATATAAAATGAAAGAAAATTTTAAAAATAATCGAATAACTTTTAAAAAATTAAAAAGAGGGTTGTTTAACATTATTATCAATGAATAAAGTTTGAAAGTGGCAAATTTTAGCACCCGTATACTATAGCAAAGGTTTATACAACCTGCAGGAAACAATGTCAATGAAATGCTGATTAGCTCTACCAGAAATTAATGGAATACCGGTAGATTAATTTAGTTTGTTTACTCCTGTATCACAGGAGTACATTTGCTTTCGCTTAATTCGCTATTACGCGTATCTTAACCCCTCTATTTTGCGCTATGTAAATTTGCGTTCGGATGTTTAATGTAAAACAAGCATAAGGCTTTCCGTGTGCCGGAATATTAGGGACAATTAATTATCCCGTTTGTGTCGGTGATATAACATGTTATTACGATATCGGTATCTACAACGTGCATACGTATTACGTATGTAGGTAATATTGGATCGTAATTTCGAGCCATTAGTGCTGTGTTTTCACATTACCTATATGTATACTAAAATGTTGTTTTATTTATGCTATTTCAAGATTCCAAAATTCCAGAACGTTAAAATCTCAAAATTTCAGATTTCCTACATTTCAACATTCCAGAATTCCAAATTTTCCAAATTTCAAGATTCTGAGATTCTAAAATTTTAAGATATCAAAATTCCAGGATTCCAAAATTTCAGAGCTCCAAAATTCATAAATTCCTAAGGGACCTGATCTAGGAAAGTACAAGTTACCCTAATAATTATACCTCTTTACCACCATTGAAATACCTACGTTTAATCGCAATATTATTTTCCCAAACTCTACAGAGATTAATTAAATCAATTATTCCAAATCGAAGCAGAATAATCACTACAATGCCTAATGTTTCTTTTCTTCGACGAAATAAATTTCATCGCCAGTTCATATCACGAAACATGCGATGTGATAAACGAGACAGCGGTCTTCTATGGAAGGAAAATCACTCCAATTCTCTGCTCCGACTACCTCCATATAAAAGCAATGGTTCTAACATAAAATTTCTTTTGTAGTTCGATGTGGACGAGGACCTTGGCTCAGGGGATATCAATAACGAGTTGATAGACGGTTCAGGAGACGTTGACATAAATATGACTGACGTGAGTTGCGTGATCAAAATGCATTTCACTGAAAATCTTACTAATAATGTTGCGTGCTGTTGCTACTAATTAATCGTTTCGTAACCTGATACAGAGCTAACCCGATCGAATTAATAGCATTCATTATAAATAATATACAAGGGAATAATTTGCTGTTACTGACCAAAATCGAATTTTATGCTTGGGTAAAAAAGTTGCAATGCTGGAGGGAAATAGGCGATAAAGCGTAACGTTTCGGGTGGGTGCTTGTTACAACGTAATCGTCGCTAACTTTGTAACTATTAACAGTAACGACTGCTGGTTCGTCGTTGAATTTCCTTTTCTTTTTGTTCACAAAACGTTTTAATGCTGTTCCATCCTGTAACTTTCGATAACTTGATCGTGACAAAGACTAATTAAATTTGTTGCTTTTGGTTTGGAATTCCAGTTAAAATTTCTACAATAGCATTTTTACAAGAAACGCGTTGTTACTATCATATTTATTTCTTTAAATTTTGTAATAATTTGAGAAGTTGCAATGGTAAGTTACGAAAGTGCTAACCGTGAAAATTTTTAATAAAAACAAGAATGCATGTTTGGTTATTTTACTACTTTCTTTCAACTTTCAACATTTAACACCTTTAAGAGGTGAAATCGTTCAGGAATCAATAAGAATTAAAGCACTCTACAGTAGATTCGAATGTACTTCAATCACATCATATGATGTCGAAAGCTATTTCAATATATATAAAATACTTTCAACAAATAAATAACATCATTTAACCAATATATTTATTATAACGCATCAATAATAAAAATTTTATTCCCGTGATGATCTCTGTTTGATTGGTTATTGAATAAAATGCAATTTTAACACTTTTGCAATTTGCAATACTTTTTTTTACAGTGTTGTTAATACCGAAACGTTAACGAATTTAAAATTGCTCAATATGTACGTTTCATTGAAATTAATAAATATTGTCAGGCACTTGTCGAGAGCCAATTAAAACTGAATAACCACTGTTATTTAGAAACAAAATATTGATGTACTGTATCGAGCATGGTAGACTTCCCTGCGTATTCGCATTCCAGGATTGCTGATCCATGCCGGAGGTTTCCAGAGAGAGAGCTCTATGTGTTATACATATAGATTTGTGGCTCCCCATTTTGTTTCTAAATCACTTTCAATATTAATATCGTCAAAATGAAGATTTTAACTGTGCTCGATGCTGTACGTATTTGTAATATTTTGTCAGGAGATGAATTAAAGTTTTCTCTAAGAATAAATAATATCACATGTTCCCATTATTTCAAGACTGTAAGAATTTGTTAGTATTATAGCATACAACCTGAAATGCGTATCTCCATACCTGACAAGTGTTCAATGGGATTCGCAATGGGATTCGCAATGGGATTATTAGATCTGGAAATTGTAACGGTGGATTTAGTCGACAGGTGGCATTATAGGTAATCAATTGTTAACACATTGACTTCCACTATAGGACGGTATACTATCATTGTAATTATTCAGAATATAATTGTTCCAGTTTACAATTAAAACTATCTATATGTTACTTTACGTAATTAATATAATGCTAATGCTACTTAAAATTATTATTTATTTAATTATATTAAATTTGTGGTGAGGACTGCTGTTGACTCTTATAATACTCAATTTGTTAATTACAAAATAATTTCATTATCTCTGAAATGTAAAAGTAATATCAGTGTTTAAAAAAAAATGTTCTCAAAAAGCTGTTCAAAATTAGCAAATGAAGGTAGAAATCGCTTTATAAGGATAATCTGATGAATACTACGAGAATAATCTTAGAAATTCTGATGGGATCTTGCATTAGTGAGTGCGCCCAAAATGCCTCGTTTCTCAGAAAGCTTCAAGCCTTTTCATCGTCATTATAGAGTTCCTCTTAATCCAAAGGAAGTTCAAGGCACATCGTGCTGCGACACCCGTTTCCCAAACTTGGTCGCTCTATTAAATCTTTTGACGATTAAATTTAATAAAGAACTAAAAGGTTCATCCTGTGCTTCCTTCAAATTGGAACGAAACTGTTTTCGTACAGTAATAAATTGTTATACTTCAGTTCCCTTAATATTTGATGTTGTTTTCCTAGATAATAAATAATTAATATTTCATAAATATTGATAATGAAAGGCTTGTGCAGTTTCAATATTTACATTTTTAGATTATTAGATTATCGAATTATTTATTAAAATGAATAATTGTTTGCTGCATTTGAATTCGAGTAATTTTAAAGCGAAATAGCTGGAGAATAGCTGGAAATAAAAGTAAAATTGTCACAAAACGTGATTGTAGTTGTGACTTTATCCGAATGAAATTAACAAGAAGCAAATCAATACGAAATCAGGTTCGTTCTAGTGCTATTGCCTGAGAGGTGTTTCCTTTACGTCATGGTCCTCGATCTACATTACTCCACTGGCAAATGAATAGAGTGCAAGAAATTGGATGATTTACTGTGAAATTTACAGAGGAATTGGGTCTCATGGAATTGGAGACTGTTAGAAAGACGTAAGAAAACTGTAAAGTGCCGAGAGATTGGAAGAAGGGATACAAAAAAAGAAGAAGTAAAGTAGAGAAGAAGACAAATATAGGGGACGATGAAATAAGAAGAAACGAAAGATTGAAGAGTAACTTTAACTTTTGCCACCTAACCATCTCGTTGCCAATTAGACGAAGCGATCCAAGTTCCATAGGAATTAAGCTTGCCAAGTGGAATTAACTTTGATTTGTCCTGTTGGTCACATAGGAGAATGCTCGAAAGATTTCGATCTTCGAATGCTGGTACCAGTTGAAAAAGCTCGTGCTAAAAAGATCCTTTGACCCGATAGGAGGATAGTCTTTCAAAGTGAATTACTTTGATTTCACAGATGATCAAAAGGAGTCGCTTTTTAATTACTTATAAAAAGGAGTAAAATATTCTTTTTAAGAGCTTAATGCACACATTATCCTATTACTTTATCGTCGTATTACACTTTAAGCGAAAAATTCTGTCGATTTACATTAATAATTAATTTTCCTATGTATGAAAAATTTCCATACTAAATTTTCACTTCAGTTACAATTTACTCTGCATTCATCATTCCGCTCAGAAAAGATTTTTTCCCCGCAATTATTCAATTTTATTAAATTTACGATTGGCCACCGGTGGCTCCTGCAGCATCCAATGTGTTAATTAAGAATTTAGCGGGCTTTCTGACACGGTTACTCGATAGTGCTGGCAGCAACCGAATCGTTTAAGAAATTCGTTCGTGCTTAGTATCCTCTCTAACTGTGAAGGTAGAGGATGAGGGATCGGAGGGAATTTATTTCATCCGTAAAATCCTACTTCCAAGAAACGCTGTTGAAACGGTATGGCAGGAGGGATACAAAGATGCAACCGTGCATAATAGAGCTGATCAGGATGTTCGTATACCGGGTGAACGAATTCAATAGAACAGTCTGCGGTTGTTCTCGTCCTACCCTGTACTACGTGTTATTGCGATCGAGCATTGGTTTTACGTGGGCTGCAATTTCAATGCAGTTGCACCGTGCATATGTATGTCTTTGTTCGTTGATGAAACAGTACCTCTTACGCCTACACTCCTATTTCACTGTTCTAATTCTGCTATTAATGACCACTGATTCGATCTTTTCCGCGTGTTTTCTCTCCTCTCTTTTAATTAGTATGCAGAGTGGGTTGGAAGGAGATTATCGATTATTTTATAGTAGATATTTTTGTTTTGCTGCTACTGTTGCAATTATAAAATGTAAGATAAGGTACTGAATACATGCACTCGTAGAAATGAATTTTCTTTGCAAATATATTATTTTTATTTTCATTCGATGTAAATGTTTCTAAGTCGGATTTATATTTAGGGTAATTCTATGTACAGTATCGTGCAAAGTAAACTTTCCTAAGGAAAATGTCGTTACCTATGAAGGAGGGAGAGTAAAGTCTAAGGGGAAGCATTCGCGATTTTCCCTTGGCAAACCTACCATGCTCGATGCAGTACACATTTTAACATCGATTTAATCGGTCGAGAAGGTTATTAGAAGTTTTATTACACTTTTCCTGGTACTTATTGAAAGCTTTTTCATGCTTTAACTTATCTCATAAATCATCGATCAAAGTGAAAAGAAATTCAATTTCTTTTCCATTGTTATCCTGTTGAAATAGTATTATATTTTAAGTTCTATTGTAGAGATTACCGTGCATAATATCAATTAATTAATTATATTTGTAATTTTGACAAATATAAGACAGGTAAGGGACCTTATTAATAATTGCATTATGTACTGAAAATAATATCGTATTATACATAATGCAATTGTAATATTATAAATTAAATATATTATGGTTCAGTTACAGTATTATTATACATTTAATTGGGAGTCTACATATGTACTTAGATTCTTATTTATTTTATAACTCGTTTGCACGTATTTATTTAAAATATAAATATTCTTCACATTGAAATATTTAGCTAACAAGTTAGCATAATACAACATGCACGCCCTCGCCTATGTAAATGTTTACATGCGTGCTTCTACTTGTATATATTGCCAACGTGAAATGTAAATTTAACTTCCTGTGTACGCAAAAAGACGTGATTACTAATTAAACCAAAATACGATTGAAATGCCTATTTCAAGTAAGAAAATAATCTGTTTGAATTATTTTAAAATAAATTTATTCATTTACACAAACTGTTAAATATACATATAACAAATTGTTAAAAATTCGAAAATCAATATTGTACAAAATAATATTTTAAATGTATTAAAATGTGCTCGTTTGAACGCAAACAGAAAGATGATCCTGTGTCCTGATGAAAACCCGTACAACAAATAGTGAACACCGAAAAATAAATAACAGAATGTTTTTTATTGCCATTATATTTGTAACACAAACAATTTTGACGAACAATATAAATTTCATAAAAAACTGTTGGCCGAATTTAATACCACTCTAAAGTATCACTTAAAAAAATTTAGAAATCGTAAACGTAAGGATATCCTTGCATTATATTTCCCATGGGGGATCAAAATCCACGAGAGACCAAGCACATTGATGTAACCATTCTACCATACCTGAATACTATGTATTTTTCAGTTTATGCAATTCCATGTATACATGTGGCAAGCAATTTCGAGAGGAATAAATATACAAAAATTATTCTGACAGTTTACGGGAACGAAGTACGAAAGTAAAGGAAATTGAATTAAATTCTTTTGAGAGATAGAAAGTCAGATACAATTTCGTGACAGAAAACCATCACAAAAATGCACTTATGGCATATCGATTTAAAGCTCAAAGCTTAATAAATGTAATAATCGACAGCATTTTATAGCGTTCTAGGAATTGAAAATTAAGCTAATCGAAATTAAGCTAACTGGGTCATGTGGCTAAGTCAATATTGCAATAATGTAATATGTCAGGCAGAATATCAAGGATAAATAATTGCCGAAGAACAGTTTGGCTTCATAAATCTGCGTCATTACTAATAATTATTGGAAAGCATTTAGGGCAAATATGTGCTAACCATTCCGCCTGATTTAACCGAAAGTTCATTAATCACCAACGTTCTGGGCGATATTGTTCATTCTTCGATTGGAAGAAAAAAAAATTCCACCTAAAAAGTCACTTCTTCAATATCAAACGCTCTAATTATTCCGAAATTAAGATGCATAAAATTTTTCAAATTAGTAATAAAAATTCTGCAAATTAATTAAATTTAAACATCGATACGTTGGTAACAAAGTGATTAACATCTAATATCAAAAATTAGATAGCAAAGAAGAGGAATCAAATAAATTGTTATTTAATTAAATTAATATCTAATGAAAAAACTAGGAAATACAAATGGTGCTCAATATTAATCCCACATTTCATAGGTAATCATAAAGAACGGAACGATTTCTTCGCATTTTATTTGTGCACAAATAAATCTCATCGTATTGGCGTGAAGCGCAATCAATCACATCCATAAGCGATGAAACTTCCCACGTCGTTTCGTTTTCCTTTTTACCTTTCACTCATTTCTTCGTCTTCTTTTTTTTTTCCTCTGTTAGCATATAACGATATATAAATCACGTTTAGTGTTCTTATTCAACGTCCCATTTTACCGTCCGTTTTCAGATCGGACGAGACGATGACGAAGACAGAAGTGAGGAAAGCAATCCGCCGCCATTCATCACACCCCCTCCTCCGAATCCGGACTGTGAGTAATCGCAAGGAATTCGTGAGTTTATTTAATCGTGACTTCTTTTATAAAAGAAGCGTTCTGGTTTTGTTGGCGAGCAGGCCAAAAAGCGTCGGATCGAAAATCGTTTCTTTAATAACTGAAAACGCCATTACCAGTATCCTTTGTAAGAAACATTTCGATTGAATTCTCAAAGGATTCTAAGCTCGCTCGTATCCCAGAATTCTATCGGTAAAAGGATCACGGACCTTTGCAACATTTATCGGAACAAGCTCACTTAACTTAACGGTTTTGGTGACTTTTTAATTGACCAATAATTACTTTTATTGATTTCAGAGATTATAGGGGGTGAGCCTCTTAACTTACCAATATTAAATTATTTTGTTATTCTGGAAGCGATTGAAGTTATTTTATATTGAATAATTATAATTAACTTTTTTTTTTATTGAAATGTTCCTATTTTCCTTTGATAATAATTAGTGTTAATTAATTTTTGTCAGTTGATATGACACTATCCATTATATTATTAATGTAAGGTACTTGGACTCAAACAAAGGGTACTTGGTCCATCCATTGTTAAATATACTGGAATGTATAATTTTGAATCAAATATTTCTTTTAACTTTCTTAGATAAAGGACCTAAAGGTGATAAAGGTGATAAGGGAGACAAAGGGGAAAGTGTTAGAGGACCACCAGGACCCCCTGGTCCACCTGGTCAAGACGAGGTAAATATTCATAATTGTTTGATTAACAGTGGTAATTATAATTATACCAAAAAATCTAAAGGATCTGAATATTAGAAAAAAAAGTAGAACCAATGCCCCAACCTTAAACAAGTACAAATATAAATTAATGAATCATCTGAAATAATATTGTTAATTAACTCACGTTTCATTAATACATTTCTTACGAGTGTGTCATTGCACATAAGATACATATATATCTTTAAACTAATGTATAAATTATACGTGTCGAATTATACACCACGACATACATATATGGGTGTTATATCGAGCATATGTATCGCAATGCCGAAGATGTTCCATTAGCAATCCTTACACAAACCACTGAACTTGCAATAGTTCAGTAGTCTATACACGTATAAAGGCAGACCGAATGCGCTGTGCATATTGTAGAACTACACATTTGAATCAGGTTTCACGTATAACCATGCACCATTGCATTGTTTGATACAAAAGAATATCAAATGACACAAATACTATTGTTTCGGAACATTTCAGTGAATATCAAGAGGAAATTATAGAAACAAAAGGAATTATGGGGTAAATCAGAAGGAAATTATTAGAAATAATATTATTATGGAATCAATTCTCTTTATAATTGATTAGTAATTATTTAGAACAAATAAATATAATTTTACAAATTTCTTCTTAATGAAATAGCATAGTAATATCTTTTTTTATCAAGGTAGCTGTTTTTAATTTAAAGCCATACTATGGCACTAACAAAAAGTAGGTTTGCGTTATGATTGACCTACTCTACTTGCACCTAAAGTTTTCTAATTTTCTGAATCTCCTTAACTTTTCTTATAAATTAACAAAGATTCATTTGAATTTTTTAAACTTAAAATTATTCTTTTCCCTTATTTTACATAGATCAAAGTATAACATACAAATCAAACTTAGAATATTTTTAAACAGTGAATTAGAAATTAGAAATGCATTAGGAACGGTGAATTAGTAATGAAACAAAAGTAGCTCTTCAATAGTGATGTAGACATTTATTCGAGAGACAAGTTGCTGAAGAAGTATGTATTAATTAGTAACGAAGCTTCACCTGTAGAAGTCTCTCATTATACCAGATGCAGACACGTTCACGCACATATTTCAGCAATAATAATTCAGTGGTGCTTGTGCATATGAAGCGAGCGTGAATGCATTCCAATCCAGGATCATTCATTTATCTTGCCGCTCGAGCTAGCCAATTTAGTTAGGACGCTGAAGTACTGGTAAGCACTTTATGTATCATTGATTACGGAGAAACGGCTTTCACGATATATTCCCTATCTTCCAAAATTATTGGCACGCAGGGTATGAACACAATTGGTATTTGTTTAACGCCCTCAATGCATTCTAGTCCGAATCGAAAGCATCGCAGTGCTTGAATTTGATGGGTACTCTTGATCAAATACATGAAGAAAAAAGGAAAATTGAAACTACCCCATTCGTTGGATCCAAGTTGCACGAAACTGACAAACATGGATTACAAACACGATAAAAATTGAATGAATAGCTCGCTGAATAACAAACAAAACATAAATCTTTAGGGAATTGACAAGTTCAGAGAAGTACTTGATTGAAGAAGAAAAATGTAGAACTGTTTTTTTCAATTCATTTATCATCGACACCTTCTACGTCAATTTTGATGTATTAAATATATTTGTTTCTTTGTTAATTAACAACAGTAGCGAAAATATTTATTATATCATTCGTAAAGTTAAATGTATAATTTTTAAAACAAACGAAAATGATAAACAAAACTTATAGTTTGAAGGTTGATTGGGCACAAATAAAACATGTCGTTATTCTTATTTTGAAGTCAGTGAACGAGAGTTAACAATACACCTTCGTTAATATATTGAAATCAATAATGCATATATTTACAATAATAAATTAATCCAAATGCTCCAGGGTCCACCTGGTAAGAAAGGAGAACCCGGCACCTGCACTTGCAACGCAAAAGCATTGATGGCATCCTTTACAATGCCAAAAATGATTCAAGGACCTAAAGGAGAGCAAGGAGTACCAGGACAAGAAGGGAAACAGGGGCAAATGGGGCTGACGGTATTGAGCTTTGCAAAAAGATTAAATGTTTCGCAACGCAATAAAAGAATTTCATTAATGTGACGAAAATGATTAAATACTTTTGTCAAATAAAGAAAATTTGTCCATAAACCAAACATCCCTACAAAACTTGTAATTAATTGTTTAAGCGTAGTCATTTTCCAAGTTGACTAATACTTCGTCATGAATGCTTCGAGTGTTTTGGTGACTGGTCTAAGTAATTAATTCCGTTGAATTCTGCAGGGTGCAGCAGGACCACCTGGAGAGAGAGGACTCCAAGGACCACAGGGTGCTAAAGGTGACAAAGGAGACATGGGAATACCGGGACCGGAAGGTCCTCAAGGACAAAAAGGCGAACCGGGTCGTGACGGAATACCAGGAGAAAAGGGTGCTCAAGGACCACCAGGACCTCCGGGAAAGGGTGAATTTTCCAGCTATGATGTAAGTAATCATACCCCTTTTTAATTAATTCTCTCTACGACTGAAAGATTGTTGTGTAATACAGCAAAACCCTTTCGAATCGAAAAGATTCTTGAATAAATATTAATAATGTAATTAAATTCCTTTCCGTATTCGTAGAAGAATTTAGGTAAAGACTGTTTATTTATAGAAATATATTTTGCACTGAATTTTTAAGTAAATATTAAGCAATATTACAAGATTTTTACTTTTTATCCATGAAATGTTTTTAAAACTTTTTAACAAGTTTTTTGTTACAAAGATCATTTAAAGTTGTTAAGTTGTTGCATATCGAATGATAGATTTTAAAGCATAAGTAATTTAATATCATTTGATGGCATAATTACCAATAAATCAAAATGCAAAACTCTCAATTTTCAATTGAACTATACTTCTAAACAAAACGATCTCGCTCGTCGAATAGAATTCTAGAGAGACTAACACAGAGAAACGTCTCATTCAGAGTTCGTCTATTTTCCTGCATAACCCTTCAATGATAATTCCAAAACGTTCCATTTGCAGGGGTGCTAAACGAATTTACGACCTCGTTTAACCATCTTGAACCGTAAACGTGTATGTTTTCGCGTTCACTAAACTATCCTGGTCGTGTACCATTGAAACAAGTTTCTCTTAAACAAACGAGAATATTAACCAGCAGGAAGAGTGGAAGGTGGAGTTGGAGGGCTAAGCTCCGAAACGTACATAACATTAATTCCGATCATTCTCTGAAACTCATTGAAAATTTCCTCGCTTCCTTTGTTCGCCGGCACGTTGTAATGTATCCTTGCGGTGCAAACGAGCCGTTTCCTAGTCGATCCATGGATTCCCCACAGTTCCATAAAATTGACGAAATCCCAAAATGCTTGCCCGCCAACCAGACGATTCCAACGTGTACATTCCCTTTTTATAGTCGCACACGGTACCGAGTATTTCTCGTTTGTCTCTCGGCGGGGCATGCAAGCAAGAGCAACAAGAAATTCGTTGAATGGAAATGGAACACGATATCACCCCGCAGGGAATAAGTAACCGTGCACGTAATAAAGGTGGAGTTGTACGTCCAACTCTTGCCTTCTGTCCCATTCTTTCGCCGCCCCTTTTTGTCCATCTAGTCTTTTCTCGCGACCTACGTCTACTCTTCCGTTTTCCACTGTTAAAAGCAACAAGAAACCGGACGTATCTGTGTGCTAACGTTCCATCTACCCTTTAGATACATATCGGCGAACGTGCACTGGATGACCCATTTTAGCCGGGGGTCAACGTGAAAATTAAATAGGGTGCGAAACGTAGCTGATGCTCTGTTGAAAAATGAATCCGCCTTTTGAGGAGCGGAATATGATGAGACTGGAGGATGTTAAACGGAAACACGTGTTGCTTGTATAATTCTGTTAGCATCTAGCGTCTTCTGGGAAACGTTATTCGATTAACATTCTTTCTGGGCACAGGGATGCAAACATACCCCTGGCTACTCTTCTTAAAAATTAATACATTTTTCTTTTACATTTTCTACGTTATTCGTACTTTTCAGTTATATACTAAATTTTATAATATTTCTAATTACAAATCATGCTATTCTTTTTCTATATTAATTTTAATATTAATATTATTAAAATTAAGATTTAGAGAATTTCTGCTTCTTTGTAACGCTATTTTTCCCCAGGGAAACCTACCGTTCCGATACTGTACATGCATATCCACTTGCAAACTGTGAAACATTGTTCAATAGAAAGTTTGAGAGAAAGAAATTTATGAAGCAAATCTACATTTATTTGTAACTGTGCTTACAACTTTTACTTCTTAGTGACACAATAAATTTCAAATGTTCCTAAGGTAAATTCTAAGTAGTAAAGTTTAGATACCCTTGGAAAGGAATTTCTGAATCATCTTTCGTCTTCTCTGTGACCCTTTCACAACAGTGCCTGAAGATATTGCAGGACTTCTGAATCGTTGTTCAAGTATGCCTCTAGTACTAACAATTAGGTACAGAAACTTCTTATTTGAATTAGCTTTCCACTTTGTAATTTGTTTAATATACTTGATAAGAGATCAATGGTGAAAAGTAAGAGACTAAGGTCAGTGAAAATAAAGCGTGACTGAAAAAGAAATTTCATTTTGTGGAAGCTTTACAAACATGAACGGGGGGGGCGGATGAATAGAGATTAAATTTCGTCTAACGACGAGGACTCAATGAAATTATTATCACGATAGCCGCAACCGTAGTTGCCGTCGGAAGTGGCACGATTTTCCGTACTTTTCCGTGGTTTTAAAGTGCTCGGGAACGAACAAAGCTCTTTCCAGCTTCCGATGTTTCAACAATTAGCAGGCGAGGTCAGACCTCCCGTTTTGTTCTAACAGCGTAGCATTTGGAAGTGTGCCACCGGCTAGAATGGAACAAAGAAGAAACAAACTAAACGTAACGAAATGATTTTTTCACGAATCTCATGCGTTAGCACTTCCAAATGTACAAAGATAAACTATGATGTAATTAGGTGTGTGCAAAACTAATGGGCTTTTCCTTATCATAGAATTTTATTATTTAAAAAAGTTAGTACTACATTATTTAAGTAAGTAAATTACACGAAAATATCATGCATTATAAATTGTAACACAGATATAATGTAGTTTACAATAATAATAACATAAAATTATAGAGAATGATAAACCATTGTTACAGAACAAAAGTTTTCTCACTATCAGCTTCTCTGTTTTATTTCGTACGTGAATTCGAACAGTTCACATTTTGTAGATTTATTACAGTAATAATGTAACTGTCGTACAATTTAGTTAATAACCGCAAGGTAAAAATAAAAACTAGAAGCAAATTTATTACGGTCCCTGCGATGAATTATACTTACAAAAGTTGAGCTATTCATAATTTAAAGCACGCCATACTTGGCAGATAATTCTTGAATTTACCGCACCTAATTATGCGAATTTTAAAATAAAACCCTACAAATTTCGTTACCATCTGCACTGTATACGTATATTCTATTCTATTATTAAAATGTAAATCATATTCATATTTTTATAACAAAAATTCGATATTTGATTTGAAGTACATATTCTAATATAATATTTTAATAAGTTAACAAAATATTAGAATATTTTTATAGTATTCATTTTTATATTAGAACCATCTATTTTAACAATTATTAAAATAATGTTATAAATGCATTAGACGAATTTAGTGGATATTTCAAGAAAGTTATTGAAACACGGCTCCTTAATTTCAAGATTAATTTGCCTCTTTAAAACTTTCCTCAGTCACATAAAAATTAATTGGCCTCGCAAACAAGCCACTGTCCAAATTTAATCAGGCACTGCATCACAACGCGAGTGTTTACTTTCTCTAACACAAGACCCTCATTTTCATTATAATATTTCAAAAACACTGTTTCCTAGTATTAAAAATTTTCTTATCTTTATTTTTTAATTAAATTGCTCAATTTCTTCATTTGTATAATCAGTCATAATGACTAACTCTAAGTTTTTTTATTTTAAATTGCAAAATTTATTAAAATACCAGTGTCAAATTAATTCTGTGCTCTTCCTTTCTAATTATATTCTTGCACCAATTTTCAAATACACAAAAGCGTGGGAAGATATTTAAATTTAAATAGCAATTAAGAAGGCGTAATTGATTTGTACACCCACTATATTGACTTTAATTTATATTTCATCCATTATTTATTTATTTTTTGCTTTAATTTTAAATTAAAATTGAGGGGGCTTCAAATAAGGGTTTCGATGTGAATAGATGTAAATAATTACCATAAAATTCAAATTAATTAGAAGCTATAATACCACATGACGTACAAAAAGGTCACTGATGAACTTAAGGTAAAGCACCCCCAAACCCATGTATTCCCCTGAGTCAACCCCTCCAGAGGACTTTGCGACCTTGCAGGGACTTCAGGAATCCCCGACAGACGAAGTATTTCGCTTCAACCTCGAGTGTTATCTTACGTGACCTGGTACCGGTTCATGCTCTAACATACAGGAGTCCGATTTCCCCAGAGAATACAGAAACCAATTTCTAGGCTGTACCAACTAGCTACAGCCAGGTGAGCGACTCGTCAAGGTAAGTTGCTTAGAAGAACTAGTCGTTGGACGAAAATACAAAACTATGTATTTTATCGAATATACAAATAATTGATAAACGCATTTATCCGGTGGTGAAATTAATTAAATATTAAAATATTTTATGCTTTTGATAAGTCCAATGCCAAAGGATTAAACACGCATTAAAATCATGAGAGGTGAGAATTAATATACTTAATTTTTTGCATTCATAAGATATTTTATTTTTTCAATTTCAAAAATTATTTTATTTTATTCAAATCTTTGACAGTTTACATATTTCCTACAAAACAAGGATCAGAAATGACTCGGTATTATCTGGATGAAAGTTAAACTAATTTCATAAAACTTTCCACACTTTAATGTAGTATACTTGAATTTAAAATTTTCATAATAGTCCAATGAAATTATTGTTAACAACAGCTTTCAATATAGATAATCGTACTCCACTTTCTGCCCATTCATCATAGCCAACTCATCCTGTAGAACAATGCAATTTCACGTTATTCATACTAAATCTCATCATTTCGAACTACCTGTTACGGTGTTACTAGGAAGGTAATTTACAGCGTTAGGTCTAACATTACGTAACGAATATTACAGACGTAATTCTCACCTCTTCAGACATAGCATTAAGCATTGTTCTCAGTTTAACTAGTTGAAGTGTTTGAAAAAAAGTTTGAATCTACTGCTACCATTATTATTCATTAATTGTTGAATAAAATAAACAATTTTTAGAATTATCATCTTCTTTTTAAACAAATTTTTTTATAAATATTTTGAAAATTTTACAAATTTAATTTTTATGGAATGAAAGCTGAAATTAAACACCCTCTAGATTAGAATCATCCCTTAACCAGTAATTTTATATGAAAATTGATGTAGCATAAAATTCAAAGAATAATTATCTTTGAATTCTACATCTTTCAAACCCTTGTTCGCGATAAGAGGTGTTGAAAATCCAGCTTCTTTTAAGAGAAAAGAGAAGGAAGACGGGATGAAAAATGCCCAGGTTTAATGTCAAAGCTTTTCGCTGATAGCTGAAGAAAGTCCTCGAGTTTGAAACCGTTTCGCTAAAAAGGCTCGAGGATGTTCACATGACACGGAAGGAAACGAACGTTGGCGTTGATAAATAGGCATCGAAAAGCTTTCGTGTGACGATAGAAAAGAGAGAGGAGTATGTTCGATTCGATTGCGGTTAACTGAAGCTGAGACTGGTAAACGTTTGAATAAATGAACGTCTATCGGGTGGAACGATTTGAAACATTCATTGACCGAATTAAATGCGCAAAGTGCGCTATTGATCCGCACTTTCGGTAACAGTATCAGTTTTAAAGGATCCGACCCCGCTTTTCCCGTTCACTCTGTGCTTTTTTTTTCCACCGCAATTCCACACCAATTTTAAACTTCCTGCAAATCCTCGAACGTCGATTAATTTTTAACCGTACGATGTTCGTTTCGGACAAACGGCTACAGCCGTTTAATCAACGCCCACCGATGCGGTTCTATCTGTCGCCAATATAATGATTCATACCGTCCTTCTGTATAATAAATTCAATTATAAAATTTTGGAAGTTTGGAATATTGGTGTCTTCGAATTTTATAATTTGGGAATTTTTAAATATTAGAATTTTAGAACTTTAGAATCCTAGAATTTAGAGGGACCAGATCACATTTTTGGGGGTACAGGCCCACCATGGCCCCTGTTTAATTTCTGCAATGTTGCAATGAGAAATATAGCAACCATAATTGCCCATAGTGGCGAAAGTATGAAAAGTCATAGCACCATAGTATCTTGCAGACCCTGTACATTGTGTAAGTACCTGTTGTAACCCATTCAACGAGTTCTCCAATCATTCAATAATTTTAACAGAATGGTCTCTGTTAGTTGTTTGCTTCTCAAACAACTCGTAGTAGACAAACTGAGAATAGGGTAATAGTTCAATTGAACCTTTGAGAGTGTGCTCGTTGAACGTAGAGAATTGTTTGAACGGCGATTGTTCGACAGCAGTCATTAGACGATACAAACAGGCAGGTGGCATGTCGGGTCGAACGACTGCTTTTACCTTTACGACCTTATACCAATGATTAAACAGAGAAATTTCGACTATTATGCGCATGCAGCCCAGTTGGAAACCCCGTGGCATTTATAGGGTGAGTAATCGTTCCATATTTAGAGCACATTCGACACAGAAGCTCCGTTCACCGTTTACATTGTTTTAGAATCATTCTATTTTACTTAGTGGTTAATAAAATTTTGTACAAAACCATTTGTGAATTTAATAATTTCATTTATTCTAGAAATATGGAGCCTTGTATGTATTATTTATCATTAATAAATCTGACAATCCTAAAGTTTATAATTCTATAAATTACCATATTCTTTGCTAAAAGTATTATTGAAAAAAAAAAAAGATTTCGGTTTTTAAAATTTCAGACGGATAGTATTACGTTAAGACCAGGGCTGCCAGGCCAGAGAGGTGAAGCAGGCACTCCAGGAAGTCCAGGACCAAAGGGGGAATCAGGAGTTGCTGGTGCCAAAGGTAACAAAGGCGAACCAGGGCACAAAGGATTGAAAGGTGATCATGGAAAAGAAGGACCGAGAGGAATTCAAGGATTCAAGGGTGAACCTGGCGCTCCTGGAACACCAGGACTTCCTGGTGCGCCAGGTGAAAATGGAAGGCCAGCTGAGAAAGGTGATAAGGGAGACACAGGGCCAGAAGGAAAACCTGGTCCTCCTGGAGCACCTGGCCCACCAGGTCTAACTGGAGTTAGTGGTCCTGGAGGTGTAAATGTTGGAGAAGCGGGTGAGATATGAAAAATAAAATTTATTATGTTACATGACCTTCTGCTATTACTATACAGTAATGAGCATGGTAATCGATTTTATTAATATTAATATTGTCAAAGTTAACTTGATTTTTGCAAATTTAATTTCCATTTTATATCTAGGAGATTCATTTAATGAATATTGCAAAATGACTAATCATTATTATTTTTCAAGTCATTGCATTTTATTTATAAAATTACATTTAATAAATCGTCACATTTCAAATTACAAATATTGTACTAATAATGTTTTCTCATTATTGATTCATCGATATTTCAATCCATCGATGAATTCGCATTATTAATCAATGTTATTATTATTGTTACAATCCGTAATATGTTTATAAGAGAACTGCAGTGTTTGATCAATCGATTGTTCGATTTGCGTTTTCACAATAATTAATTTCCGCTTTTGTATATCAGTAAGATTGTGTTGTTTAATTTGTTCGATTAATTAGTGTTAAGAGCAAAAGGTGACAAAGGGGAAGCTGGCGCCCGTGGGTTCAAAGGGGATAAGGGCACCAAAGGCGAGAAAGGAGATAAAGGTGACTCTGGTCCATCCGGAATTCCCGGTGTGAATGGTATTCAAGGACCTCAAGGCAACAAAGGCGAGCCAGGCAAGGATGGAGTTCCTGGAGGATCGGGAAGCGTTGGAGCAAAGGGCGAAAAAGGTGAGAGAGGTCCACCAGGAGCCACAGCCATAGCAAGCTCGGGCGATTACATCACTGTCAAGGGTGAAAAGGGCGCTGAAGGGAAGAGAGGTAGAAGAGGACGTCCTGGAGAACCGGGACACCCGGGACCTGTAGGACCACCTGGGAAGCCTGGAGTTATGGGCGAAATTGGATTACCAGGATGGGTGGTAAGAGAACAATTTATTTTTCTATCGATCAATTTTTCCGCTATACTACTATTGAATTTTCATTTTAGATAGAGAAAAAAAATTCAAAGAATTATTATTTTACTATTATTGTTTATTTAAATAAAGATTGTATACCTAAGGTTAAACAAAATGGTATTTTGCTATTATAAAGTATTTAATAATTATACTTTTACATGTATAAATTTCATAATTCTAAAATCATAATAATCTTTTTTCAATGCTGAGTACAGAATAGTATGAAAGTAAGTATTAGGTGATGTATTCGCTCAATAATATTAAAATGATTTTTCAAAATGTACGTAATTTAGATATTAATCAAATAATTAATTAGTTACTTCAAAATCATATTAATCAACTAATTACTACGAATGACAGCGTAAGGGGTGATAATTAGATTAGAAAATTAGAAATCAAAGTAATCGAACGAATGTATGCTAGATTGACCTGCACGCGAGTTTAATTAAAGGGTTAATGAACGTGGAATATTCATGAACGGAAAGGTAGGACGCGAACTCTGTATATCGGTAACTATTTCTAACAGGGTCGTCCTGGAACTCCTGGACTTCCTGGACCTGTTGGACCGGTAGGACCCAAGGGAGAAAAAGGAGAACCCGGTACACCGAGCCCTTACGGAGTTTCCGTTGGTGTAAGTACAATTTACAGTTTCTCGTCAAAATCTAGAACTGCGAACGTCCAATAGTGATGCTCTTGGGGAACACGTTACGTTCAAACTAACGTCATACTTGTTTTCACGTAATCTGTCGAATACAATTTATTTATACTATCCATCCACAGTTTCTGGACATTTACGAAATTTCATATAAACTTGATGAAACTTGTGGAATCGTTAACTCGTTGAATAACCAAACCAATTTTGTACCTTGCCCATGATTCTTCATACTTATTTTTTGATTTATTTTTTGATTTAGTATTAATTTAAAGTTCTAAGAAGCTTCATTTATTTACTTGTATTATGTTTTCTCTCGGTTGGCGGACCATGGAGAAAGCCCCAGTTTCAATTTAATTTTGTATTTCATATTATTTTCAATAAACACCAATGGATACTTAGGACGACCTAATGGAAGTTTAAGATTGAAATTAATGCTCGGTAAAGAATAGTAATATCAGAAAAATGTTTGATCCTATCTAGGCACTGGCAGATGAAAAATGAAGATGTATACGATGATCTATAATTCCCATGGCAAACTTTTGAACATTATTGAAGATGACGTTACGTGTAAAAAATTTGACGCAAACAAGAGTTCTGTTAGAGGATGAAATTAAAGTAAAAAAAATTTAACAGACAGGGATATTTTTGGCCGAAACGACCACAGGAAGAAGCTTGCAGAACTTATAACCGTGATCGTAGATCACCACGTACAACATCCTGTACACTGAACAAGGTGTAAAACTCGAGGAATGACAGGAATTAATGCAAGTGTGCGCTCGACGCTTGCCTCTCTTTTTATTCTTTTTTATTTTTCTCGGCTACCGAAGCCGCGACTCAATTTATTCGACGCCCCGAACAGAAACTCGTCGAAAATTTCCTCGACATCCTTGACAACTGACAAGTACGACCGAATGCGCGTGGCAGAGCTTAATTCACTACAGTTTGGTTTAAAAGCCATGCAAATATAAGGCAAATTTGATGCATTTATCTTATTTTCCAGCAAGGAATACGTTTCGAGTTTTATAACAATTTGTATTAGACGAATATTTTCGTTCTACATAGAGAATTCAATTGAATTAAAAACTTCTATTTGATTATTGAACGATGTACAGGTAAAAGGTGACAAAGGGGACGATGGTTTCCCTGGAATTTCTGGACAACCTGGTAGAGATGGTCAAAGAGGACCTCCAGGACCTCCTGGACCACCTGGACCACCGTCGCAAGGGAACTACATTCCAGTACCTGGACCCCCAGGACCTCCTGGACCACCAGGACCACCTGGGCTATCTTTAATTGGACAGAAAGGAGAGCCCGGAATTGGTAGAAGTCATATCTTTGGTGAAAGAGATTATTACGGTGTTAGACAAGGTAACTTATTAATTTATATATAATTACACCTGATTAATAATTAAACAGTGCTGAAATAAAAAGATATGATTATTATTGTTAGAGAAGAGAAACACGAGGAACTGTACATAATAGAACTCTATTTATTGCGATAAAAGTTTACTATGTAATTAATTAGATTTAATAATAATAATTATTTTAATTGAATATGAATACAGAGCAGTAGATTTTTATATTAAATTGTATGTAAAAATAAATATTAAAAAAACATTCTTTATTCCTTGTATCACAAGGAGCCAGAACTAGCCTGGATGAATTGAAGGCCCTTCATGAACTGAAACAACTGAAAGAACTAAAGGAACACTTAGGTAATGCTAAAAATGAAATATTGTATAGTTATTTTAAAAAACAAATTACTTTTCTGACATAATTTAAATTTTATCTAATTTCTTCTTTTTCTTTTTTTTTAAGAAAAGCGTTATAACAAGTTTTAATATATTCATAAAAACACCGTCGTTATTTATATGACACAACTATTTAAATTCTCTAGTACGTACTTAATATCTTTATTTTTTGACCGAAACCTTTTATAGGTGCTGCAACCGCTGCAACCAGAGGTCCATTAGAAAGTACAACAAAGATTGTACCAGGTGCAGTAACTTTCCAGAATACAGAAGCCATGACAAAGGTAAACTGTTTACGATATTAACAAGTTTAATTCCACACGAATTGCAATAACAGTTAAGTAATATTACCTTTCAGATGTCCGCTGTGAGTCCAGTTGGTACATTGGCTTATATCATTGACGAACAAGCGCTACTTGTTAGAGTGAACAATGGCTGGCAATACATTGCAGTTAGTATAAAATTCTATTTTCTATCGTGTTTTATATTTCTCTACGTATTTTCCTATTAACTATTTATAAGTATTTGGAAATTGGTTTCATCGAGGATCTTTAATATTTCTTCTTCCACATTTATTTAACAGATGGTAATGTTACGGCAGAGTCAATTTAATTCTAAATATTTATTTTGTGCTGTATAGTTAGGTACACTTTTGCCTATAACTACCCCAGCACCACCGACCACATCGCCGCCCCCAGCGAATCCACCCTTCGAGGCTTCCAACTTGATCAACCAGATACCCGTAAAAGCAGATGGTACAGGGGTGAGTAACTATCTTAATCCTGTAAAACGTTACTGATAAGAAGCGAACTAATGTATTACTTAATTCCAATGAAATTTTCCTTTTTGCTTCGAAGTGGTATCCACGAATGGTAAGTCATTGGTACATCACTTTTTCTGTAAAAAGCCAACGAAACACTGCTTCTTTTCAATCTTCCTGTTTCAAGATTAAAAAACTAGAATTCTCAGTTTCAGCTACATTTATTTTACCCATAACAAGGGTAGATGCAATTTTAATCATTCTGGAATTAGTAAAATCCTTCGATTTTAATTTGTGTATTTATTATTATAACTTTTAATATTTAACTGTAATATTAGAAAAATCTTTAATAGTCCTGAACAACCCCTTTTTAATTCAATTGAGTGAAATGCTTTCGGTTATTGATGGCAAATAACGCGCTCGATAACCGGTCGAAAATGTAACAATAAAGTTCAGTTTTTGACAAGAATGTAATTTCGATTTTCAGCTACGAATGGCAGCTCTGAATGAACCGTTTACGGGCGATATGCACGGTGTACGGGGGGCTGACTACGCCTGTTATCGACAAGCAAAACGAGCTGGCCTAAGGGGTACATTCCGCGCGTTCCTCAGCTCCAGGGTTCAAAATGTCGACAGTATTGTAAGACTCGGGGACCGTGATCTTCCTATCGTCAACATAAAGGTGATTTAGAATCTAAATTTCGGACATAATCATAAAAATTTTTCTTAAACATTCCTGTCCATGTTTACAGGGAGACGTTCTGTTTAACTCTTGGAAAGAAATGTTCAACGGGAACGGAGCATATTTCTCTCAAAATCCTCGAATCTACAGTTTCAATGGAAAGAACATCCTAACTGACTTTGCATGGTAAATTTCTGATATTTTAGTTAACGCTGAAAGAGCAAACTTCGTGACTAACAATAAGTTGAAGTATCTCAAGTGGCATTTGATTCTGACATGTAAATTTAATTTATAACTGTTTTCGTTCTTCATTTCAGGCCAGAAAAGGTAGCGTGGCACGGTTCCCATAAATTGGGAGATCGGGCAATGGACACCTACTGCGACGCTTGGCATTCGAGTAGCTCTGATCGTTACGGATTAGGATCGCCTTTAACAGGAGGACGCCTGTTAGAACAAGTTCGCTACTCCTGTGACAACAAGTTCGCTTTGCTCTGTATAGAGGTGACCAGCGAGACCACAAGGAGGAGGAGGAACGCCGAAGTTGAGGAAGAGGAGGATGAGATGTCGGAGAACGATTACAAGGAATACTTGGATGCTCTGATGGAGAATTAACTCATCTCATCCTGGCCCCTAATTATAACGTAAACAGCAGCAACAAACAAACAGTTTCGCTCGTTGTTGTGTAAATAGAAACCGAGATCATCATCTGTCTGATGGACGAGTGAAAAGCAATAAAAGGAAATTAAGCATCGTTCGAATCGATGATGAAACACACTATCAGACATTGATCATCGATGATCTCGTTTCTAAAAAGCGTAAAATCTGTATCTGTAATTCCAAAGGTTATAATCGCGAGTTATTAGCCAACGCTTTACACGAATTTTCGTTCTCTCTTTAAGAAATAAGACTGATCGTCTAAACATCGTTCATCAGTGTTTCATATCGATTGCCTGTGCTCTTGATCCATCGCTGTCGAGTGCCGGATTGATCGAACGTGTCGGAATCATTAGGAATTACCCTGCGTCACGATAAACGTCCAGTTCTTAAACCGTTACTGTGAAAGGAGATTCTTCGAAGCGTGGCCAAAATTGGTCGCACCCCGAGTCATAATTTAACTGTTAAGAAATAACGAAACAAAAATGTAGGAGAAAAGTAAAAAGAACGTAAACTAAACGGGCTGCCGTAACGACCTAAATAAAAAGTCGGGGTTCGTATCCGCGATCAAATTGCATTTACACTTTAGCCAATACATATGGGTGTGTATGTTAGATGTAAGAAACCAGTCGATTAAGAAGGATTCCACAAAAGACCATTATTGAGTTTCTCCGTAATTCGGAATCCAGATTTATGCTCCTTGTATCGTTCGTGATCGATGCATCAGTATGATACGAATTGTACAATGAATAAAGTTGCAGCTCGCAAAGGGATAAATTGCAAGTAAAGTCGTTATAAATAAATTGGCCTAACAGGTGTGTACAATTGAAGAAATTGTCAGAACCTCTCAACGGTACAGTATATACTCTATTGTGGAATTAACATGTTCGAACCCACTTGGGTAAAAATTTATCACATTGAAGGAGAATTGTTCTTTAAGAAATCGTAAAGTCGTTCAGGAATTTAAGTCTTACGATACGTGAAGTTTATAATGGTCCATTGTTAAGAGCTGCCGCTATCTTAAATCATAATTGGTATCTGCTTTTACATCGAGCATAAATCCAGTCTAAGTCAGTGTCTATAATTCAAAGATACGATATATTACTAACGTTAAATCAATTCATTATGATTAAGTAGAAAGATCGTCGGTTTATACTTTTAAGTTTGTCAGCACGCTTGTTGGCGAATACGTATTTTGTATCGGAGAATGAATATCCCCCTCGATGCCGTACGTAGATCTTGACGTAACGTTATAAAATCAACTATCCTTCAGTATAATTTGCACCGAGGACCGTTTCATTTCAGAATTTTGTATTATTTGTACACTTTATTATTGTCTTTCTAAATAAATGGCGAAAACTATATCTACTGGACTTTCAATACCTTGTATCATTTGATTATTTTTAGGAATGGTTAAAATTCAGGATTCTGAGAATGGTTGTAATTTAATAAAAAGAGTATCCTTAAAAAAATTGTAAAAATTTAATTCACATAAACTGTACAATTTTTTAGAGTACATATCTTTACACATACTTTTCGAAACGATAATTAAGATTTTAAAACAGCCAATGCTTCTGTGAATTTTAAACCTTCTAAAATATAAGCTAAATTCTCCATAGACGCATCTACATCTTCCTCTGCCCAAATCTCTAACATATTTTTGCACTGTTCGTATGGTGTTGGTTTGCTTTGGAAGAATGTAATCTGGAAGTAAGTATATAAATTTATTCGTAATTTTTCTTTATAATATATTCAATTTTCTTTATTGTTTACTTACCTCTTCACTTGTATAACCAAGCTTCGTTGCTAATTTCTTCCAATCGCCTTTGAGAATTTCGGATAACTTTGCCACCATTTCAGGAGTAACTTTCGTTAATTTTCGCGATTTTGTATCAGTATTTTCAGATTCAACTTGTTCACTTTCCTGCTTTAGAACGTCTTCAGAGAATTCCTGATCGGTTGCTTCTGACGGCGGTGTTTCTTCCGTTTCTAACTTTATATCTGATTGCGTCTGCTTTAATAATAATAAATAATGTATTTCAACAATTGCATAAAAACAATACAACTATCAAAACGGAAATAATATACTTACTGGACGATCTTTGGCAATTTTTTTAATCATCGTTTCAAGATATTCCGGAAGTTTATTAATAGGATAATTTCCGTGAACAAAAAAGTGAGGGCTGCGTCTAGCTAATAATCTTAATGCCCTCCAACCGAAATTTCCATCATTTACTTTCCTATAACGTAATAATTTAATTAAACCATTTATTTTGTAATAGTAAATAAAAAGAATATACTCACTTATACTCGTCATCTACCATTGCGCTGGGATCTAATTGCATAATAGCTTCCTCGAAATACGTCTCTAAAGATGGAAGGAAATCTCTATCTTTAGATTTACATGCTTCCAAATTATTAGGACACAAATTCCACAGTTTTGTGAGTTCCGGACTATGAAACAATTAAATTTAATTAAATATATAATAAAATGTTAAATATTTTAAACTGTAAAAGTTGCATGCTTACTTTCCCATATGATATTTTCCTACTGTTTGAGCATCTCTAATAACATCCCCGATTCTTTGCCTCGGTCTTTTTGGTTTTCTTACGTCTTCTATATCACTACTAGAATCTGGAGCTGGCTTTTTAAATGGTGGACAACCTTCGTTCTTCCACGCATTCCAATGTTCCTCACGTTTCAATATGTTTTTAACAGTTTCCGCAAATGCCGGGCCATCAGGAGGCGTTTCTGTCAGCAAGGCGTACACTTGTTCCGTGGTTGCTTTTACCCAATCTACTTGGTCAGGCTTCAGTTCATGTGTTTCACTTAAAAATGACAAAATTTATTGAGACTCTGTTTTGAAAATAGTTCAAAACACTATTTAAGGAAAGCAGACCTTGTCTCATAGCCACTGGCAAGGAAGCTTTGGAAAACAAACATCGTTTTATAGCTTTCAAAATCGTTTTACTAATATTTCATAAGAAATGTGCAATTCTATCAAGAGGAATTGTGAATTCAAATGTAATGTAATCCAAGTACAAAAGGAGTGTGTACAAATTCAGATACTTACGCTTTAAATTTTACAGTGCTATTAAGATACTGGAAAAGAATGAGAAATTGCAGCAATACATATCGTCTAAAATTGGAATCTGATAACTGTAATTCCAGCAATTTCTGATTTGTTAGATATTTTGCAAAATAAGGAGTTTCTTTATGAGATCCTTCCATTGAAGTATCAAGTTTGACAGATGTTGCTGGGTAAGAACGTTGTTCTTCCAATTTGAAAGATGAAAATGCTGATAGCACACTTGAAGCATGCTAGAAAAACATAAATGGAAAAATATAAAATTTCTTTACAACATATAATTTTATGATTCCAATAATGTAGCTGAAACTTACTGCTGAAAATACTTTCCAATACATTTTCATATAACATTGATTTGGATTTCTAAAGAAATCTTGCAGTGCCCAAAATTTTCTATATAAATTATAATCAATTGGCACTTTACTTTCTGATTTATCTTCATCTTTAGTTACTTGCTCTAAATCATCTCCTTCTGATTTTTCAGAGCCAAATTCTGTGTAATTTTCCAAATTAAATTCACTAACAATATTAAGACCAGATCTCTCAGAGAAGGGGAAAAACTTGGCTAAGAATAATAAAATCCTTCCACAAAACACAGTTTGCTGCGATCTACTTAGCCTTCTAAGCAAATCATTACACATTCTTAATAAATTATTTTTACAAGCACTGAAGAATAAATCTTCCTTCCATACAACAACATTATTTTCAACAAAAGTAAAGAGTTGTTCGCATCTATCCAATGTCATGGAATCAAAAATATCACCAAGTAACATTACTGGCATACTTGCAGTTGCTAAATCTTTTTTACATAATTCAATACAAAATGTGATATAAGTTTCAAGTAACTGTACATTGCTTGATGCATTTTCAGATAATATTACAAGAAGAGTGTCCCTTAATGCTTGATCAATAGCAGCTTTCCTATCACCTTCATTTGCGCATCGCTCAGTACACTTCTTTTGAAATGTTTGTACATCTGACACTTTAAAACACTGTTGTAAATAATCCTAAAATACAAAATAAAATATCATTAATAACATAAACCGTATAACCTCGAAATTACAATCAATTATATGTGATTATATCGTTTCCCATAACTCTTACACTATATTCCTTCCTTAATACTTCGAACGTCGCCATCGTGTAAAACAAATTGAAACTTGTCTTTTATTAAGCAAATAATCCTGTTCTACTACATATCAACACATATCAACACTGTCTACAGACAGTAACTACAGATGTAGAAGATGATAGAAGACTGGACATGCTTTTGTTTTCGAGGACTCGAGACTCAGGGGGTCTCTGACATCCCGGATGCCATAATGTCGAAATGCAAACTCAGATAAGAAATCAGTTTAGGTATATTCTTATATTTCCATCTTTCAATGTTTTATACTCTTCCTAGGTCTTTCACTATTATAAGTCATATCCATCACTATCTCGCAATTACTATTTCGCGATTTGTTTGGTTTTTAGGTCTTATATTTTCCTATTTCCGATTAAATCCATCGCTATCGTGCATTCATTGATCCGCGATTTTTTGTTTATCTATGTCTTATATTTCGATAAATCCGGTCGTATCTATCACTACCTAAATTCCATATGTTAAAATAGGTTTTACCCCTATTTTCGGGCCTCGGCTCAACCTTCCCAGTTATTTATTATTTTTTTGTCACAAGGCCTTTATCACTGCATCCCTTACATGTCTGCATCCTTAGCATCTCTGCATCCCTTATATCACTACATTCCCTATATTCCTGCATCTCGTATATGCCGGCATTCCTTATACCTCGGCATCCATTACATCTCTGTATCCTTTACACTTCTGAATTCCCCGTGGATCTCTTGTATTCTTTCAACCCTCATAATATACTTATGGCCACCGGTTCGAGTAAAGGTAAGTAAAGGTAAATAAAGGTAAGTAAAGGTAAGTAAAGTCTCGTGAAAAATAATTTTAAATTTAAATTTTTGCGAAATTTAGTTCCTCTTTTTACTGCCAGAGGGCGCTGATTCGAGGTCGAGATTTTAGTTCACATTTTTGCCGCTAGAGGGCCAAAATCTCTGCTTGGTTTAGTTCCTTTTTCAAAAACCAGATGGCGCTGATTCGAGGTCGAGATTTTAGTTCACATTTTTGCAGATAGAGGGCCAAAATCTCTGCTGGATTTAGTTCCTTTTTCAAAAACCAGATGGCGCTGATTCGAGGTCGAGATTTTAGTTCACATTTTTGCCGACAGAGGGCTAAAATCTCTGCTTGATTTAGTTCCTTTTTCAAAAACCAGATGGCGCTGATTCGAGGTCGAGATTTTAGTTCACATTTTTGCCTCTAGAGGGCGCTATTTTTTCGAAAATTTCGCAAGATCTAAGCAAAAAAAAGGAATTAAATTTGTAACGATTTCTTACTGGAAAAGAGCTTATACATATAAGGGATATAAGGGATGCAGGAATACAAAGGATTCGAGGATACAGTGAGTGGGAGTAGTCCCTGCAAGTTCAATGAAAAGAATGAAGAAAATAAATAGCTGCAAAGGGAAGCCCTGGTCCATAAAGAGTAGGAAAAGGATAAACAATAATTGGGAAGGGTGGTCCCCGCAAAGCCCATAAAGAGAAATAAAATAAATAATTAGGAAGCATGGATTTGTCCCATAAAGGAGAATAAAATAATTAATAACTGAAAAGAGTGGACTTTAGTCCATAAGGAAGGATAAAATAATAAATGACTGGAGAAAGTGAGGGGGGGCTCATAAGGAAGGATAAAATAATGAATAAAAGGAATGGTTGGCCGAGGCTTAGAAGAGAGATAAAATCATAAATGTTATTTCTCTTTAATGAGTTTGTTAATAAGCGGAAAAAATAAATAAAGTAAATTAAATAAGTAATTAAATAGTACTAATAATAATAATAAATAAACTCCGAAGGGAAAGTAGAAGTATATGTATGTTTGATAGGTTGATCCGCACCCCTCGGCGGTCGCTATAAGACTGAGGAGGTCCCAATAAGGAGGTTCTCTTATTGGGAAGAAATTACTGTATATTCTAAGTTGTGTAGTAGATTTGAAAATAGAACACTGCCAATATATGCTTTTATTTACGTACAAGGTATAAACAAGATTAAAAAAATTTATACTTTGGATATTTTATTAAAATATACATTTCATCCAAAATACAAAAGGAAAAGATATATATACAATTGTGTTTCGAAAGTCCTGCGCAATAATGATAATAACAACGGTTACATTATTATAATAATAGTAGTATTAATAATAATAGTAATGATAATAAGAAGAATAATAAAGTAATTGTGGTGTCTTAACGCATTTGCATTTTGTTTTTTAGACTTTCGCACGTAGCTTGGTAATAATTTTTTGAAGATACATGATTACGTTCTTGAACAAACGATTTTTTTTCATTATCAATATATATTGGAGTTGCTTCCAATTTCTTTAAATGCCTTTTTTATTCGCATTGATAAATATTAGTAAAATATCTTGCTATTGGGTATAATAAGAATTTATTATTGCCGAGTTCAGTATACAATATACTTATAAACGTGGAATTCGATATCTCATCACTATATACTTTAACGAACTTCGATCGTTAAACTTCGTTTATACAATTCAAGAGAGCATCTATACCCGTAATTAATTATTAAATTTAATTAAAATTATCATTCGAAATCTGTTAATTGGAAAAGTATAATAAAAGTCACTGTACATGATATGTGTTAACTTAAATTCTGATTTTTCATCTTTTGTACTTTAATTTAATGATTAATATTGTCTTCTGCCACAATTAGACAGATAAAAATCCTTTAATGAATCTCACGAATGAGCAGCCAAATTTAATTGCACATAGTGATAAATGGTTGAAAGGAGCGTTTCCTTTTGTTTACATTAATGATAAACACAGATTCAATTTTCATTAATTACTTATACATGTAATATATATATGTATATAAAAAACACTAAAGCTTTTTTTTTTAAATACTTATTACTCACTGTGTTAGAAATTTTTCAAGTCAATCTGCTTATAAAATATTTATGCAAGATATAATGTATTAGAAAATGATTCTAATACGCGAAAAATATTTATAAATCTGAATAATTTAAAACTTCATTGGCGATATTTGTCTGAATAGTGATCTAATTATTAATTTATTTTTCGATTAATGAACGATTTATTTTATACCCTACACATATATTCATAAAATCTACTCCGCGACAATTTTTAGGTATTTTAATTAATGAGATTTTCTCTTAAAATGACGTGCAATATTATTTTTATTCCAAAATATGATGGGCATTAAATGTTTGTCCTTTTTTTCATTGACATCAACTCCAAGGCACTAATAAGGCCTTTATTCCCCTCAGATGTGACATTAAAAGAAGTTTAAAATGTAATAAAATAGTGGGAGATCCTCTCTATGTATTTTAATAACTTAATTTTTAAAACATATGTAAATACTAAAGAGATTTTTATAAAAGACGAGGTCTTATTAAAAACTTGTAACAAATGTTTAAAATAATATCAAGATTAACATTCTGGCATGATTAAATAATTTTAGATCAGCAGCATCATTCGGTAAATTTCATTTAATACTGTTGTAACATCTTACGAATGCATAATTACTTTTTCTTTTTTAATTAATGCACTCGTTTTCGTGTAAAAATCGAATGGTTGCTTCGTTAATATTATATCACGCAAAACATATAAATAATAATTATTTATTTTCACATCAGTGTTAACACCGTAAATAAAATTTTCAAAATCATGAAGGCAAAGTAATCAGACCGTGTTTCAAAACCGAAAACGGGTGATACTTTAAAAAATATTAAATATAACATCTCATTAGCAGAACAATAATATTTAAAAAGAAAAGCACATTTAATAGTAAAACAAATTTTTAAAAGGCATCTCCCACTATTTCTTCTCTTTTCACGATATGTGTGATCACAGTTGTGTGCAGAATAAAATAGAATAATAGAATAATATTAATAATACGAAATAATGATTCGTGCTATCAGCTATTAGATGTTTTTACAATAAAAGTAAATGTTATAAACTAAACGAAAAATTCGTGCGATAAATAAGTGTTTCTATACTTTACTAAAGCTTCGGCCATAACGAATACAAAATTAGTAAAGTATAGATCATTTGATAAATTTCTAAAAAAAAAAAAAAAAAAAGAGTTGATTCGAGCAAAAATGTTTCTTTTAATATAAACTTGTCGAATAAACCCTTTCCTTAAATATACATGTGTTCGATTTTAAATTAAAGCTAATGTACAGGATTCACGGATTCAGTCTACACTAGAACCGATGCATGTTTATTGTGCTAAGCTTAATTATGTAGCTCGCACATTATACGCTCGTGTTAATTAATTTTGTATTAAACTGTACTATTTACATTTTACTAACGCATTCGGTGCTACTGGCTGCTAAACAAGCAACAATGGTTGGATAATATTAGTTACACAACAATAACAAAATTTTTCCATTGCATTATAGAGTCCATACGCAAGTGTTTATATATCATTTTAATACTGAAAACATTTTATGTTGTCATTAATTTAAATTTTAATCAATATAATTCAAAGGGATAATTCTCTTTACTAAATCTGTGTTAAGAGAATTTAGTAAAGTTTCGAACTGTATTGAGTAATGAAAATTAAGAGCTCGGAATATTTCTATCAATTGTTAAAAATAAAAGATTAAACACCTGCGTTTAAATCTATGATGTATATACAAATTTTTCGTTTCCCTTCCTCACCATAACCAATTTGAAGTAATACATAGTAAAATATTAGTTCCCAGTACTATTTTGTAACCATCTGATTATATAGAGAGTGAATTTGAATATATATCCTTAGTCTGTCACTAAATTCTATTATTTGAAAGTTGTTAATATGAAATTATTAATGAACTGTGCATAATTATTACATTTGATTGAAGAGAAATTGAAAGCTCTCGAAAACCAAACACTGTCCCACTGTAAGAAATGAAATACTTGAATATTTTGAGATTCTTAAGCGAACAATTTATTTTTTTTTTATTTTTCATATTTTTATTCAATATAAAATACTAACATGAGCGTATTTAATTACTGATGAGTGGTTTTCGTTGCGTGAAAAAATTCATTTTCTGTACATATTCTGTGCATGCATGACTTTTTATATTTGCTATTATATCTTGAAAAGAATAAAAAAATTCTTTGATGGTGATCTTATAAGTAAATTATTGATCCTAGATGTACGATGGAGAACATAATTAACCTCAGTGAAATTGTAATACATCTATTAGTCACCGAAGACTAAATAATTAAAGACCAATATAATCGAAATTTCTGAGGAACCATTCGTTGAAATTTTTTATGGACGAAGCGTGAAAATCACAAAAGTGTTCATATACCAATCGACGATCATTTAGAAGTCATTACAACCATCAAGGCCATTTGGACATTTGTACAAAAACGTTGTCAGAATTCTTTCTGACCTTTTACGTATTAACAGTTCTCATTCTATGATACTAGCTCTTCTCGTATTCTCATCAGATAACATTCCCTTTAGCTACTTTTAAAATTAATGTTTAATTTAACGACAGTAAACTCGGTCGACAAGTACCTATTTCCTGCTATGAAAAGCCCATAACTTCGGCAATTTTATTACACAAATTATGTGATTAAAATGAAGTTATGCATTTTACCTATTCATTCGACAGCAAAACCGCAGGTTTCCTCGACTGCTTGCGTGAGTTTGTCAAGCATTTTCTGATAACTCGGATAACTTTCTGGAATATCTATTCGGTTGAAACAGGTATGCGCTTTGGGTAAATTTTCACTCGGCGCATCGACAGCGTGAATTGTGAATAAACGAGGACCCGCAGCTCCCGTCGATCCTTGTAAAGCTTTAAAACCTTGTAAAGGAACTCTAGAACTTCCAGTGACAAACTGAAGTAATCGAGCCCTCATTTCTTCTCCGTAAGATTCCACTATTTGCCAGAACCATTTTACTACCGGTGTATCGGGAGTACAATGTTTTAATCGTGTATGCATTTTCCAATCATTAATATCGATGGTTCCTAAACCACCTATGACCAATTCTAACTCTCTCTCATCGAACGGTCTTAATAGTTGAGGTGGAATTAATTCATGGAATCCTTTTTGCAACGCCAGAAACTGTTGTTCAATTCCTCGCATAAAGCGATAATTCACGTATAAACGGACGTATTCTTTTTTATTTTCTTCAGTCACAGGAATGTCTTTACCACCGGGTTTTAATTCATGATTCTTCAACATTCCAAAGCTACTGTGTTCCACTGAAAATGCAGCATCCAGTACTCCATCTATACTGTTCTCTAACATCCATGTAAGACTTCTATGTAACTCTGGATCAACGCCCTCTATATCAGTAAGGGTTATTGCTTTATTAAGCAACATCTTGTAGAATGGGGTTGTGAAACCACCATCTATGTGATGACCATGAAAAACAGCAATTCCTATTATCCTGCCAGCAAAATGGAAATAAGATAGATGTTCTGGATTTATTCCAGAATCTGGGTTAATTTGAAGCGTGTAATTATCATCTCTTGAATATTGAAAAAGGCCGTACTGCGGATTTAACATCTCGTGTGATAATAAATATAACCACTCTCGTGCTACTCCGCCATAGTCGAGGCCTTCTTCTCCGCGAAATTTTACCATAAGTCTTTTTCGCATATCCTTCGGTCGCATTTTCATAATCAGTCTGTACGATTCTTCAAATATTTCGTTCCTTGATACCTCGAGCCTGCAATGACCACTTTGTGGTTGAAGAGTATTCAATTCTGCTCTCAAGCATTTCAACTTTGCCACTAAATCCCGTTTATATTTCGGCAAAAGTTCATTGTCCATCAGTTCCTTCGGTAATTCTGATACCGTCTGAGCATTCTGAACCGACGTATTTTCCACCGGCGGGGAATTATTGTTACTGCCATTTTCTGTTCTTGGCCTCGGTTGAACTGTATTGCATTGAATATTTGGTGATATGGGTGTTTCTGCTTCTGCAGGTTCATTTGCAGGTGTAGGTGCAGGTGAATTATTTGAACTACTTGTTGTTTGATTAGTTGTACTATTCTGTCGTCTATTTAATATGTTACTTATAATTTGACTCGACAATCTGGGATCGGTAAATTGTGTAGTTCTATTATTGTGATCCACAAAATAAACCCGACCACTTTGAGTCTGTCGCATTTCCCATCCACTGGGTAATGGTCCAAGCTCGTTAGCCAGTTCATTTGCTGGTAAATCGCGAGGTATTCTAGGATCATGCCATGTAGACGAACCAGTAGGCACGTGATAGAAGTACACTTGTCCTTGTTGCGTTTTTCTCATTTCATAACCTCTTGGTAAATCTGGTGGCTGGGGCGGATCAAACCTCCTCTCGTTACTTACCATTACACTGTTCCTATTTCTGTTATTTCGATTAGGCCTCCGTAATTGACCGTTATTAACACCACGATCGGGTCTAACATTCCCATTTTGATTACCATTTTGTTCATCGTTTGCTCTTGCCGGCCGTCGTTCCCTTGACGATGCCGGCGTTGCATTTCTCGTATTGTGTTGATTCCTATTTAGTTGCTGAGTCGGTGTATTCCTGGGTGTATTTGGAGTAGAACTATCCCTACTGGGTGTTCTACTAGGTGTTCCATCTCCGTTCCACTCGGGTGTACATCTAGTAGGGCTTTCAGTTCTTAAGTTCGAAGGGCTCCCGCTACCACTGGGTGAAGTAGGCTCAGAAGAAGGTAGTGGCGGTGGCTCGGGAGTAGTTGATATAATACTATTATTAGGTCTATTGTGAAAGTTAAATTTCGTCAGTGACTTGAATACGATTAATGTAAAATCTGGTAACAGAGAAACTTACCGAGTATTTGGACGAATCCATTGTGTAGTTCTAGTGTAATGATTAACGTAGTAAAGGCGTCCGTTCTGAGTTCTCCTTTCTTCCCAACCATCTGGTAAATCAGTTGGACAACTCAGGTCTCCAAGAACATCAACAACAGCATTATGACCTACTGTATTGCTTACAGCACCATTATGACCATCTCGCGATAAAAGAGATACAACAACTTCTCCTTTAACAACATCAGTATCATCTGAATGTGCTTTACAAAGGTCTAACCGTTGATCTGTAACACAAATGATATAGTTATTTATTGTAAGGCTATTGGTAATTACCATACAGTATTAGAAAAAGCAGTAATTACATCCTGTGTCCTTAAGCCTTTGAATTGTATTGGATAATATCCGTACACATCCTAGAAAACCTCCACCTTTCTTTTTATGTATTTTCTTATGATTCCAAACTGATATGGTTATACCGTCATCTTTCCCAATGTACCTACACAATATCAATGATTTATACATTTTCATGCACAACATTATGTTATATACAATAGTAGAAAAATAAGTACAGATCATAATGTTGATTCCACATGGGATCTAAAGTTGCCTTGACCGTGTGTGTACTGTGACATTGACCAGAACCATCAACAGTTATTTTAGCAAAAGGATCTGGTAAGCCTAAAATAGAGTTTTTAAAATGGATCATTATTTCATAATTTTTATCTTTTTTTTTTAACATTAAAGATACTTACGAAAAAGATCTTTCCTGGCAAGATTACGGGCGCATAAAACTGTAAAATGGATAGAATAAACATCTGATAATTGATTTGAAAGATGAATAAAACAGAATTTTTTATTGTAAACTTATTGTGTAATAAAACAGGTTACAACTTTTTATACGCATATAATTAATTTCAAGGAGTGAAACACGACAAAGTACTAATCAAGCATACTTTCAACGAATATTAAATTCGTACATTGCTTTTAGGCGTCTAACATTCGTTAATTAGGCCTATTCATATTTGATTTAATCTTGGCTACATTCTGTATTCAACTAATCAACATTGAATGATTTAAAATTGAAAGAATGCTCGTGATACATCAGGCTCTTTAGAAAGCCTCAAATACTGTGGGAGAATCGAGGCGGGAGTGATAAATTCACAAAAATTAATGTTTTCAGTCGACGATCTCCCAGAGTGCTCACGGTGGGGTCTTGACCTCCGATAGGGAGTTGCCATAACCAAAGGACGAAAACCCTAGTCGAACATTTTTGCGTTTCTTCTTTGCACTCCACTGCTAGAAGACTATTGAATATTTAATAAAGATTGTTCCGATATATTTCGAAACAGACCTCCATAAGGCTCACGACGAGGCCATATTAACGAATACACAACAAATCAAGACGGGAAGGATCACAACGCGTGTTGGCTATCGGTCAACTTTCACACTCCTCTCACGGTAGATTCATTGTAATTTCCTACTAAACTCACTCGTTAAACGAATCTTCATGGCCCCATTCCTCCTGCTACCGCCCGGATTCGACATTTTCCACGTACATTTAACACTTCCTACCGCACATCGGCACTCTAATTAGTAAATAAAACTGCTGCTTGAAGCGGCAGTGCAATCCGCACACACGCAACCATACACAATTGACTGTTGCAGCTAGTCGACCTTACCGACTGCGTCGATTGTCGACTCGAGTTTCTCGAGATATATCGATAGTACCATACGACTCGATTCTAACATTCAAATTTCTTTCAACTTTCAAATTAAGTTTTCCATTACATTCCTTTTAATTATAACTTACGGGAATTTTATTTCTTAAAATGTGGTCAATTTATGTTCTACATTATGCTTTGGTTATGATTATATAAATATATAAGGTGTAGAACAAAATTTAAAATACAATTATTGTAGAAAATGTTTAATATTAAAGTTTACAACATAATTCGTTTATTCAAAATCCTTCTACATCGAAGAGATTTGTGTAAAAAGCAATTTTGAATATTGTGTATATGTACAACGTGCGAAATAAAAGTCACGTAATAATAATTAAGGAAAACGATTTATTTTATATAATTGTACATTCAATGGTTAAACGTAAGGTACATGAATCAGTTGTAAAACGAAATAAATGGTTGAATGTTCGTACCATTAAACATATAAAACGTGTAAATTAATGAAGAAAATCAGCGAGAATTATGGTAAAGTAATAATTAATATAATAAAATGAAATTCTTACTTATATAATAAAAATAGATATATATTATATAATAGAAAAAGTATTATTTCGAGGTGGTGTCTGTTACTTAGTAATTTCATATTACTGTGCGATCGTAGCTTAATTTATGTGCAACAATCACGATTATAACTTTCACTGGCCTTACATTGGAAAGAGACTGCCGTTTATTCTAGAGAAATAATTAACTACAGTTTCGTCGTCGTCAAATCAAATTAAAAAAGAAATAAAAGAAAACTTTTGTTTAAACAAATACAAAAATATTAATCATGTTCAAATGCATAGAAAAAGTATTATAAAAATATAATAGTCGAATTGTGTACTGTTATAATCACACAAAAATTAATCATCAAAAGTATAAAATTAAAATTCAAAAAAAATTTGATATATTGAAAAAAAAACAAATGTAAATATAAATTCTTTTTTATATTGTTCCCTGCAGATTTTAGCTTTAACATAACTGCATTATAAAGTTTAATGTTCGCATACAAAAAGTTTCTCTAGTAACGAGTCTAACAACAATTAATTGAGAATTACTTTTATTTGTACTCTGTTTTCTGTTTCACTTGTACACATTTTGTCGTAAAAATTAGCGTAATCTTTGTCTTAAATATCTTCAAAAAAATTAATCGTTCCTTAAAAACATACGATGAAATCGTTTACTCTTTGGCAGTATCTTCTTGATAATAATTCCGTATGTTTCTTATTACGGAATGTGATTGTACCATTTTGAAAACGACGGATGATTGAGTGATTTTAGGTTTCTTCTCGGTTCGATTTTAAGCTTCTCCTCTGTACGTGAAAAAGGCATCCACTAGAAATAGTACTCCCTCGACTAAGCTGATTACACCTTTCGCTATACCAGTGTCGCGAAAAGAGCCCTTGTAGGCCAAGTTTGAGAAAAAGTCGATGTTCAGAGCTCCGGCAACAATGAACAAAACGCATCCAACCAGGGAGAAAAAGAGATCCTGCAGACATAAACATTTTTTGGCATTTAAAAAAATATACAGTTACATTTAAGAACATAAAATTGATCTTGAAATCGTTGAAAGCTTTCCTAATAACAATCTTCTCAATCTTTTACCATTTCATTAACCATGGCTTAGCTTGTATAAAAAATCGCATGAAATGCTGGAAATTTAATATTCACATACCACACGACGATCAACTGGTGCTCCAAATAGGCTACCGGCAAATAATCCCACGAGAATAATTAAATATCCGCCAAAGGTACCCATCGTAATCATTGCAGTGTGTTGATCTCCAGCATTGAAGGAGTGGTAGTGCAATCCTATGAGAACACACACTATAACCTGAAATCATTGAAAATAAATTTCATATCTATTTCATATATCGTGAAATAGAGTCAGGACATAAAGAGTATACTTTGTCCATAGTTTTTTTTTAAATGGTATCGATAAGCATTCGAAACGAGGTCAGCGAAACAAATGTATCAACTCTATCGGTACTACCATAAACAGCACAGTAGAATTATACCATTATGCTCTAGTTTGATACTCAACTTTATTTCGAGGATAACCCGTGCAATATCGGAACTATTGACTCATTAACGAACTGTCGACTCGTCGTAGAAAGCATTCTGTCATCATTCTTAATGTTATATTCATAACACGTTTACCGTATTCACCTCGCCATAATACTTATTGCATTATTAATTAGTCGCATTCTGTCATTACGTCAGGTTTCCATTTTGCACTAACTGATTTAAAATGAATTCCTGAAACGTTTTCCTTAATACGATCATTGCTTAATTTTTCTTCCGTATGAAAAATTAATGTACTTTGTTGCTACGAATTGAATTTTCTAATTAAATTGTAATTTAGTACGAGTTTAAAAAGGAATTAAATAAATAAATAAAATTACATATTAGATTCCTTGTTATTTTTTTAATTTAATTTATATTGTTAACATTACAGGCAGTAAGTTTTATTTTGTCATCTATGTAAGTGTGTTCTTAATATAGTACGCACGTTGAATGGTCAAAATGAAATCACAAAATGAAAATTTGTGGGATACATTGTCTCCGTAATTTAAGAAATTTAACGGAAACTCGTATGGTAATTGAACTTCCGTTCTGAGGCGTAATAATAACGAGAAAAGAAAAATTTCCACCGTCATAATTCTCAGCTATTATGTCATTGTCCATTCTGGTAGACTTACCGTTTAAGAGACGTGTGAGTTTAGTTTGTTCACTTAATACTCGAGATTTCAACGCCCAACACTGATTTAAATTAATGCAGAATAGCGTGAAATCTAGGTCGACGAACCATATCAAATTATGTTTCGATCAGTTCAAGTAAACCGTCAATGTAAACAGGTTTCTTTATGCATTCACTGATGTTAAATTGTATAAAAGTAATTCCATTAAAAAAAAAAACTTTTTTTTTGAGAATTGCAAGTGAAATATTAACCGAAATTCAATTAACTGATAATTTTGTTAATTGAAGTTGTCATAACTATTTCCAAACTTGGGCACAAAATTAGTACAGGTACAGTATCGAGCATAGTAGGCTTCCTCAGGGATAATGGTAGTGTCATGGACTCCCCCCTGCCCTATAGGTTTCCTCTGGTTGTCGGGTTTCAAGGTTCTGGGGTTCGTAGGGCTCTCCTTAGGCGCCATACAGGAGAATGTCGAGAAAGGGAGGAGATCCCCTTATAAATATACATATAGGTCTTATAACTAAAAATTATATGATTCTGCCCCTATGTCATTTTTATTATTAATATCGTCAAAACTAGGACGTTGAGAACTCCTGCTTCCCCTATATCGTCATTTTCCCCCACGAAGTCTGCTCTGCTTCATACTGTATACTGAATGAATGAATTGGAATTATGCTAGGAATTCAATTCTCAAATTACAGTTAGACAGTTATTACATAACTGTACCAAACGTGACAGGTTTGGATTTACAACTGTTATCCATATGAATGAAATGCTAATAAGTCAGCAGACATGTAGAAATTCATTGATCGTTTGTATTTTTCTATTAATTTATCAACTTACCAATTCCAAGAATTTGATGACAGCGAGTCTTGTAATTTGAGCCATTTTGATTTATCTGAAAAGAAAAAAAAATTTATTAATACAAATTTTCATAATTCTAAATATTTAAAAGCATATTTATGAATGAAAGTAATAACGGTAATTAAAATAATTTTATTACAAAAAAAGAGATCAGTATTTCATTTTACGCTTTAATACAGAGCAGAAATGAAGAATTAAAATGATAATAAATGAAATATAATGTATCACTCACATATTTTCCATTAATGATAATACGGTTTTGAGTGATATATTCTAATATATCTTTGAAATGTCAAGTTTATCAGCTATCAATGTTATTACACAAATTCTGTTAACAACGATTCATAAACGTTGAAACGATTAACTTCAATTTCAGACTAAATAATTAAAAATAATAAATGAATTACAACGTGAATGCAGAATGTTAAAGAATTCTGTAAATTTATATATGACTATATAATATTTAATCAATAACATATTATGTCACATAAACTTTCCATTGGGTTAATCAAAAGTTTTATATCAGAATAATGATATATTACGTTTTTAAAAATAATTAATTCAGATTTAAAAAAAAAGAATTTTTGTTTAAAATGGTAATTTAAATACTGTAGATCTTTCTTATTATGCAAAGTTTGATTAGAAAAAGTCAATTTGTATTAAATTTAATTTTGCAGTTTATTTTTCTTTGAATTTTGAGGTGATAAATTTATTTCGTTTTATCGAAGTGCTATAAACCTTATCTTTTCACGTTAAAATTAGAAGCGTCACCTTTAACAATAACTACGTGACGTTATATTTAGTTACTCAAGAGATGACACTAGAATTATAGTAATAGCAATGACCGTAATTTAAGAAGCATTTGATTTCATTTTTTTAACAATGAATCATGATTGAAACTTGCAAAATTATAAACACAAAATGTGATTATATTTATTTCCAACAAGCAATGCAAATTAATTATACAATATTGCCTAATAATATTCGAAATAATCTTAATAACGAGTAATATTTCTTCAAAAAACTTTGATCATATCGGAATACTTTATTTTTCGTTTCTGCGAAACACTTAGGTCAGTGGAACGAAGCATCGTGCAATTTGTGTTGACCATGTAATACCAAAGATGGACAGAATGAATAAACTGTAGTAGAAAGTCGTACACCTGACACGAATATTTACATTCGTGTCCTTTCGCAAAATTTCGTACAAATTATAATTGCACTTAAATGCAAAATAAAAAATAATGTACAGATTTGACGATTGCTTCTTCCAAATTCTGTCATCAATTTTTATATACTGGCTATTTAATTATAGAAATGATATTGTATAGTCTACGAAGATTGACCTGAAATTTCGTAGGAAACCTTTGTATACGAAATACTGCGAAGCTATTTCCAATAGTCGCAACCTGCGCAAATATATGTATAACGATTCAACACGTAAACACGTCAAGGCTGCTAGAAGCTTTGTTTACACGATAGACATTACAAGAGTAGATTGGTGAAAGAAATCGAGAGAAAAGTAGGAAATAAAAAGTTATGATGGCGTGTCAGGTCTTCAGGCATAAAACAAATTTAACGCTAAGAAGAAAGCTGCACTTTCACGCGTGAAACTACTGGCCCAAAAACCTTGACTCCGATTTTGCGACGCTTCTCAAAATAACACAAGACTGTAATAAAAGTTGATAAAAAAAAGAGTATTACAAATATATGTTTAACCGTTCCATGAGAATAATATATTGATTCAATTTTAGACACGGAATGTCAATTCGAAAATTTGTAATTCGATTTAAAAGGATTGAAATGGAAGATGAATTTTGAAATAGGTGTCAACTAAGAATAATTTGCATATGAATGTAAACCGGTTAGATTAGATGTGCCTGCTCTTCCTCTGCTTGTTCGTATTCAGCTTATTTTGCGCCTTATCGTATGACATTGCAGTATATGATTGTTACTATCATATACAAAATAAGATTGATTCATACGGACGTTGACAAAATTTTATCTTACATTTTTTTTTCTAATTTCCTCTCCCAACTTTCAGCATTTTATGTATTATGTATTTTAAGACATAACATTAAATAATTTAATTTTAAACAACAAATGTAATACAGAAAAGATAGCATTAAAAAATTATAAAAAATAATGTTCATTTATAAAAAATTTATCTTTGAAATGTCATCGAAATTATCATATGTCAGTGAAAATAACATAACAACACGTCTGAAACTTTTTATTAATGAATAGTTAATATAAATGCCTAATTTAAAAGTGTTTTCATAAATTAAAATTCTGACGATTATGAACCTATTATAATTCACTTTCGAGACGAGCAATTACTTTCAAGAACGAAAAGTGCTTCCAGAAAATGATCAAACACATATTAGAAAAGGATATAGTTCACTTTTACACTAATCACTTTATTTCACTAATAACACAATGTAGAAACCAATATTAATAGTAAGAATTATTAGCAAATGACTTATACATTGAGAATATTATTCCAGGTAGTTAAAAACAAAAGTGGGTCAATTCGGTGCGATTTAAAAATGAACTTCTTTCAAACTAAATCGTCCAAATTGTATTTTGCTTTTCTTTTTAATTTAATTAGAACTGTGAACTGATAATTATTATCAAAAAATTTTAATATGAACATCACATCTTCATCATTATTTACAATCTGTTGAAATCTCTTAATTATTTATTAAATTAAGTATTACTTTTCTCGTAAGTTTAATTTTAGTTCAAAAGTAATGTAGCATCGAAGTTGACCCACTTTTTCTCGGCATCTGTTGTTTATCGAAGACAGACTTACATGAAAGAACTGAAAACTGGTTGAACCAAACGCAGATGTTCACAAGACGAGAGTTCGGCGACGACTAGATGCTGAAGACTTGATTGCGTACCATGAAGGAACAACACTGAGCTCCGATTTTCACTGACCAAAACACGGCTATACGTTTACGCGGACTCAAGCTTACACACGCATTCTGTATAGCCTCTTTTTACTACAGTTCCTGCAGTTACGACAGTATAGTAGTGTCTTTGAAATTGCTTCGTGGTATCATTATCATACAAGGTATATCATATACAGTGCTATAAATCGTCTTCTCCGAAACCACAGTGGATGTGAAATTCAATTTTTTTATCTAGAGCAATTTTCTGGAAAGATTTTAAAATATCAACCACTGTGCTGCACGTGACTATATTAATTATGAAATATGGTAAAAGGTAAATTGCAAATATTGTGGTAGAAAGATTTAAAAATAACACTCTTAAACAAATTTCAATAGAAATTGTATTTTCAATTTTGAAGAAATTTAATTATACAAAAAGGAAGAAAATTCAAAGTTAAGTGCTTTTTAATTAATGTTTATCTAGGTTCATTTAGTTACTAACAACATTAAATAAGTGAAACTGTGTTAAATTACTCATTAGTCCTTTTTAGTTGAAAAATATAGTAATTGATATTCCGATATGCAACTCTGACTCATAATTATTACGCATTAGAAACATTGAAAACAGTATTGATTAACACGCGTGATTCACATTCGTTATTCATTTTGTTCTACGTGATGATAATGTATCACTAGAAACATCATTTGTAATAGGATATAAATATTATTATGTACTTCATTTGAAAGACTAAAAATAGTAGAAAATAGTAAAAAATTATTTTTAAATAATTTTTGGAAGTTGATAAAGAAATGGTAATAATTTTTGACTACATTTCTTGGAAGGTGTTGAACTTACAGGAAATTTCGTCGAATACAAATCGTGCTGCCGCGTATAATCAGTATAATAATCTCAATTTATTTTTTCGACCGCGCCTTTCGTAAGCTCGGTTACGTCGATTCTACGCCCTCATGAGTGACATCATTTCGCTGATTGTTCGATGACGTCATATTTTACCATTGGCACGCAAAATTCGCATTCTTACGTGGAATTTATAGCATCAAACTACGAGAATACGAGCGTTATGTCACGGGTTTTAATAGATTTTACTTAAATGCGAAGAAAATTGTAGAAATCTAACAATTTCTGTCGAAATATTCCATTAGAGTGATGGATTGTTGCGTGCCACCTCGTGTTTCTTTCCTTTTCTTAAGATATGTATCAAGGTAGGAACAAAGAAGAATATTTTTATAATTATTGCTCCTTTTTGTAAAACATACCCAGTTTCCTTGAATTTGCCTGGCACTGGTGATCCACCTGTTAATAATTACCGTTCGATATCGTACCAATTAAAAATGTTTCAAACATCAAGTTTGCGACGAAATGCAGATTTACGAGATTACATCGTTCCAATAGCAGCGAAAAGGCTGGAATAGAATTTTAAATGTGATTTCGCGAGGATGTATGATTCGAAGCTATTTTTAGACTTACTTCGCATTTTCTTTTTATTTAACTTTTACTAACTTAATAAACTAGTGTTTTTTTCTGTTAATTTAATCACATTCATAGACAAGAATATTTTGTCAAAGCAATAATGTTGTTGTTACGAATATTTTATAAATAATGATTGATTCAATTTATGTTTGACAATTATGTGACTATTTACATTATACAATGTCATAAAAGTGATTACATCATCGGTAGACTGTTTAATTATGATTCATTTTTCTTTCTCGATTATTAATGGAGTTTGCATTCTGTTTTTACAAAAAAACTTATTACAAAGCAATCTCAATGACGTATAACTCATATAACAGTACGATTATCTTATCGCTGCTATTTGCACTGTATTATACATTCTATTACATTTAATTGCTCTTATTCAAATTATTTTAATGATTACATTATCTTTGCCTTTCTAAATTTACCTTGCTTATCAAAGTATTATAACTGTTTCACTTGTACAATAGCAAAGAAGACCATGATACTATTACAAAACATTGAATTTAACAGGTGGAAAATATTGCGTAAGACCTACTTTCACATATTTTTAAATTTTATACTCGTGTGCACTGAAAGAAAGGACTTGTCATGCCCTCTGGTAATAGGCGACAAAACTAACTGTACACAAGCAGAATCAAAGCAGACTGACCATTGGAAGTTCACGAAAATTCCTAATGAACCGGTAGAGATTTAGGGTCTTATTAATTAAAATTAGAGCCACAGCATTTATAAATAAAACAAACTTATAAAAGATAATAAAAAAAAAATTCTAATTCCTAATTTCATGGGAAGAAGTAATTTTGTATTTTATTAATTCTGTCGTTCACCATTAGATGGCAAGAGCGGTATCATCTCAAAACGCGCATTTGTATAAAATTAAAAACCACATGAAAATACTTATTATAATTTGTATACTGTTTGCAGTGAATTGAAACAGAATTTACCTATTCTAAAAATACTAACCAAATTGGATCATATTTGAATTGTAAATTTCATTACGAGTGTGACACAATGTTATAGGACAAGGAGTTAAAATGAAACCATCTTACCATACACATTGCATACGATTTCACGTCACTTGCAGATATATTGCATATGTACCTCTCTGCTGTCACTTATAGCTGCCAAACTAAATCCTTAAATTCCTTGGATTAAGGTACCGATGGAGAATTGATGGGTGGACAGCTTACAATCCCCAAAATCGATTTGGGGTATGTACCTTCTGTTTAACCTGATCAATTCAATAGCTACAATAGCTGGTAATAATAACTGTAAAATGGAATAGAATAATTGGAAAAGGATTTATAATTTAGCGCACAATAAGAAAGGATAGAATAAAATAGACTTAAAAGATGATAATTAAAATGAAACAATTTGTTGAAAAATTTCGGGAACCCTCAAGTCTAAAGTTAGTTAAAATCAATACCATTTTACGATTAATTAAATTTTCTGCAATTCCTGCAAACATAATGAATAATGCACACGCAATATGTACAGTTTCCATGTAATCAAATACTGTCCTATCGGCGCTCTCATTTTTCAAGGTAGAAAAGTGATTCCACTGGGAATTGTAGCCGAGATGTCGGAGGTAATCTACCGAATTGGTACGATCTTTGGGGATTCGATGAAAGGGTATTGGCACAATTACCGTCACCATGACATAGCTATTCTGCAGACGGTACTTCGTTCCTTCGATTCTTTCGTTCGCAATCATGCCATTGGAAAAGCTGCTACAAAGCCATTCAGGGAGACATCTAATTAGTCACAGCGTTCAAATCGTTCCTCATCCTCCCTTTGACTGAATCTTAACTCTTCCATTATCTAGTTTGTGACAAACATTTGCAAGGAAAACTTAACAGTATTCTCCATTGTACCTACTTGAAAGTTAACAGAAAATTGAAACAAATTCAAGTGGAAAAATCTCTTCACTGTATTTTACAATGCTGTTATTTATTATAACACCTTTCGCATTTTGTTAATAAAAATTATTCGTCTCACTATACCCCAGTGTGCAATAAAACATTGACCAATGAAACGACGAGTTAACTCGTCTTCGTTGGTTAACAGGTTAAATTGCGAATCAGCGTGACGACTGGAAAGGTCCGCATAGGCGAGGAAAGCATGGAAAATGTATCGCGTTACATTTTCACCGTTGCTTGCTGAAATAATCGTCGCCGTTTATTACCGCAAACTTGTCGCCGGTAGAAATTTCCACCGAGAGATTCGCTGACGCGTCCTAGCAGATCCTAAATGCATAGCGTAACGTCACGTGAGAAAATTGAGGGGAGAAGATTGTACGCAGGGAAATTAGATAGCACTGTAATAAGAAAAGTAAAGAAACTCGTTAGTCAGCTGACAAGAACGTACACCGTCCCTGTTCTACCATGCAATTTTAATTGCTACATTCCAATAGCAGTTCGCTTATTTATTTTAACTACTTGTGTACTCGCGCCTGATTTTAACTCTTGTTTCAAATACGAGAAAAAAATCTACTGTTGCAGGTGGAGGTAATCGTTTTTACTGCAAATTTATTGTACAATTTTTATTCGTTGTTAAAACATGCATATTAAATATTATGCTCTAAACCTGGAGCGGATTGTCCCTCGAGAGTTTGAGCAAATTCCTGGTGAACCGATAGGAATTTGGGATTCAATTAATTAAAATTAAGGCCCGCAGGAGCAAAATAAGATTTCTGTGGCCTGGGGCAATCAAACCTTCGAGGAACCCCTTGATTGAAAAATTGAAATTTATTCTAAAGAAAAAGAAGGGCCTGAAAAGTGGGGTCCAAGGCTGCAATCCCCTTAGACTTTGTAAAAAATTGATTTTAATATTAATTTAAAATTTTACCAGGTAAAAATTCTTTTAATCCGACCCTGAGGACCCATATTTTCCTATAGGGCCGACCATGGTTCTTCGTAAAAATTTTAAACCCTCTCCACCTTTGCGCTGAACGCTTCACCACAAAGCTTAGAGATGTTCTTAATATTAAATTTAATTTTTCATACAGTGTCGTGGATTATTACTTCTAAAATACGGTAACCTTATGATTATTTCATGAAACGTTGGGGCGGATGTTCCGTAAGCAAAACTCGCGTTCATGAAATACACAGGATAGTTTTCTATCATCATTCACCGCCATTTCCCGGAAGAGGGCAAGTTCCTTGCTAAATCGTGCCGGGCTGCTTGCCTGCTTCGGTACAAAGAAATCTTACGCATATAGCCGGGTAATCCTCGACAGAACGTGGCGGTGTCAACGGTTCGAAGAACTAGGACGTCCGATATTAAATTCTCGTAGCAAGGCAAGAAATCCCGACGTCATCTCTGCAGAGAAGGAGATTTTTTCGCGAACGCGTCTCGCAAATATTGACACGATATTTTCAACGGACGTTTTATGCTGGCTCTCTATCTTAACGAATTTCATCGGTCATAAAAGGCTGTAATCTTTTTCTTCTTCCACTTCCTTACTCGTTTTACTTCTTCCCCAGTCTTTTTTTCTCTCTTCAGGATTTACCTCTTCATACTGCTTGAACAGAGGATAAACTAAAGCTGTCGAAATGGCAGATCTTATTG